CGGTCTCTTTCAGAGCCTTTCTGAAGCATTTGGCTTAGTTTCCATACAGCAACTTTGTGGTCATTTAATATTGAAACTGCAGAGTTGCATGAACAAGTGAAACTGGAGGAACAAGTTTGGGGACAGAGAGTCGTCCACTGGTTTTTTTTTTTTTTTTTTTAAAAAAAAGCTTTATTGAGACATAATCCACATATGCTATTGACGCGTTTAAAGTGTACGAATCGATAGTTGCATAACTGTGAATATACTTAAAACAATCGCCACAATCTTAGAAACCCAGTTATCAGTCACTCCTCATTGCCCCCAGCCTGCTTTCTGTCTCCACACGTGAGCACCCTCTGGTTCTGAGGCTCTTGTGGCCTAGGGCATGGCCAGTGCTCAGAGGTATGGCGACAGGGAAGCGGGAACTGGGCTGCTTTTCCATCCAGCAAGACTGGAGGGTGGGACGTGAGCTGACAGGTGTGACCAGAGGCTCCTCTAGGCTAGCCCCTGAAACCCTGAGAAAGCATGGAGCCGGGGCTCTGGGGAAGGAAGGGGAGATTCCCAGCCCTTTCTCTCCTAAGTAGATCCTCTAGGTGGGAGAAGACAAAGAATTTTCACTATAGTTTATTCTCCGGGCAAGTAAGCCCTGTAGACCTGGGCTAATAAGTCACAGATAAGAAAGTGATCCTCAAAGTATTGATGCTCTTTACTAAGTAAGAACTGTATTTTTTTTTTTTTTAACTTCAATCCCCAACATATTTTCTCAACTTTCTTTTTAAGAGACGATCTTCAGTAGCGTCTGTGAATTCTTGCACAGTGACTCTTGTGACTGTCCTCTGACAGATGATTATTTACCGCACAGCTTAGAAACAGTACTCAAGTTTTTTGGGTGGCTGTTGACCTGTGCTGGGGACTCTGTATGGGACACTTTAGCGGTAGGCCATTGTTCTTGGTGTGCATTCCCAACCCGAGAACCCCAGGGTTGGGAGGAGAAGCGTAAAGCAGGGCAGAGAAGGTGTGGGAGCTGAGGACCCTGCTCTGTGGGGCCTCGGGAAGCGCCAGGTGCCGGAGGACTGTGGGAGTCGTGAGGGGCAGACAGCCTAACCCTGCTCCCGGGCTCGTTAATAAAGCCTCCCTCATCCTTTTGGGTCACGGTCAGCATAGCAGATAGGAAAACAATCAAGAGCCTCTGAGAATGTACCGAAAGGAACTCAGACCTCAGACTCATGCCCTCTAGTGAAGGCAGAGCCCCCCCCCATCCTTACAAAATTGCTGACGCGGGTCTTGGGCTTCGATGCTACACACAGAGAGCCCCATCCTGGCTCTTGGTGTGGGGCCAGACTTGGAGTTCATATCTCCCTGGGGTCCTTTCTCCAGTGGGGCATGTGTATAAACCTCCACCCAGCAGGGCTCCCTGGCCTTGGCTGAAACGCGGGTCTCCGCGGCTGCTTCGTTCTCTCTCCAGACAAGGGGGTCCTGGCCAGCCTGGAGCAGAAGCTGAGGGAGATAGACGAGGAGTGCCGGGTGGAGGAGAGCAGGCGCGTGGACCTGGAGCTCAACATCGTGGAGGTGAAGGACAACCTGAAGAAGGCTGAGGCGGGGCCTGTGACGCTGGGCACCACCGTGGACACCACCCACCTGGAGAACGTGAGCCCCCGTGTGAGTGCTGGGCGCCTCGGCCGCGGGGCTGCCTGGGGAGGTGGGTCAGGTGTCTGGCCCCTCGACTCAGCCCGTGCTCTTCTCCTGTAACCCCAGCCTAAAGCTGCCACCCCCACGCCCGCCCCGGACTGTACCCCAGTCAACTCCGCAACCACGCTCAAGAACAGGCCTCTCTCGGTCATGGTCACAGGCAAAGGCACCGTCCTCCAGAAGGCCAAGGTAAGCGGTCACGCCCGGCCTCCCGCAGGGCCTGCAGCACTGTCAGTAAGGTGGGGGTCCCTCTTCTGACCTAGGCAGCGCTTTGCAGCTCTGAGTGAAGGCTCAGCTCTCAGCAGGAAGTGGCTGGCTTCCCGGTGCCTTTGGCACTGAGCAAGGCCCTTGTACTTTCTGGTTGGGCAGTCCCAAAACACTTTAGGTTCAAGAGTTCTTACCAATAAGCCTGAGGACGCTGGGGTCCTTGACCTACTGGGGGACAGCCACAGACTGAGGACAGATTATGACCGAGCAGTTTCCCAATAAAAAAGTGACTCCAAAGGGCTTTTACCATCAAAACTAAAGAAACAGATTGAGATAGGTGATGTGGTTTGCCTAAAGTCACCCATCTGGCTAGTGGCAAAAGGCTCAGCAAAGTGTAAACAAGGAATGCATACTATGATTAGGTTTCCCCTGAGGGCTAGACAAAAAGTGTTATTAATCCTTTACTCATTTGTATGCTCAAGAACATGCCTAGGGCTGCCTTTGTTTTTGGCAAACTCTGCTCTTCATTCCTATCCTGCTTACTTGCGGGAGACATTGGCAGGTGCCCACACCAATAGCTAACTATTGAATCCATGCAAGCCCCGGAGCTACTGCTCCCGTGCAGCCGTGGCAGACATCACTAATCACTTGCAGCACTGTGCTGTGCCATGGCCTCAAAATCTCTGAATAGGTGCTCTAAGCAGCAATGAACACACAGGGTTTGAAATATACGTCACCTCTATTCCTAACTGCTTCTATGCTTAAAATATTTTTTATGTTTATAAAGATTGCTACAGAGGATAACTAACTTTGCTTTTTTATGGGGGGGGGGTGGGTGTTGGTATTTGAATGGTACCCTAGGAATGGGAGAAGAAAGGAACAAGTTAGGAAACCAGCTTCAGCAAAAGACTCCCGTGTCAATGTGGACCTTGGTGACAATCCTGTTTCGTTAAAGCAGCAAGTCTGTGAAAGGGTGAGCCTGTTTAGAAGAAAAAGGACTGAGGTACTGTGAATGGAGAGCTTCGGCTAAGAGGAGGCTCTGTCCCTTTTCAGAGCTAACGGACACAATCCAACAAAAAAGAAGGCTGCTTTGGAGACCTAAATCTATTGGGTATAAACAAGATGTTGTATTTAGGGATAATTCTGTGTTTCTTTTTGGAAGTTTTCATCAATTGCTTTATCAAGATTTTTAAATAATGGAAACCTTGTGATGTTTAGACATCGGTGGAAGAGAAATCAAAGGGATGGGGCCCTGTCGTGTGGGTCATGTGGCTTTGGTGAGTGGGAAGACCTAAACTCCCGATCATCATCTCTTAGCAGTGCTGAGGGTTGAACTGCCCTTGCCTTCCAATTTGTTCTCTCCAATATTGGCAGGCCTGACTCAGTCTTCAGTGATTGTAAAACCATCTATGGCATGAGTTTCAAGGAACAGTAATGGGGAAATATTTGGGACCAAGCTAAGGCACTGACCCCACTAAGTTAAGGACTTTTTTCCCAGTCCAAGTCAGGCCTGAATCAACTGCCTTTAAAGTGATGCTGTATTATGTAGGAAAAAAAGTTTAAAACCCTATTTAGAACACTGAAAAGTGTCTTTTGAGATTTAACTGACTTTTTACCATAGGGGGAAAAAAATTACTGTGTTTACAGATTCAGTCCTATGGCCAGGCCACTTTTAAGGGAAGAGTTATTTAATAGAATGCTTTTTAGTCTCTGATTAATGTCCAGTCCCCTTCCAAGAAAAAAGCTGGTTAGGGTGGCCTCCCTCTTCTCTTAAAACTGGCAGTGCTGTTCCTTGTGCTGCCCTGTCTTTTCCTCTGATGGCATTGTTTTTTGTTTTTTAACACAGGTTGAAACATTTCATCTATCATCTCTGCCTCATTTTGGGGGGTTCTGAATCAGAGTTCTCTAACTCTGGTTCCTGAGAACTACAGGTCTTTTTTATTCTTATTGTGTCTTTCTAATCCCAGGGCATTTATTTCCTTTGTCATAAACACTTGGTGACCTTTTACCAAGTGGTGAATTAGATTTTTTTTTAATAAAATGTTCATTGTATTTTGGGTTTTCCTTGTATTTCATGAAATGGGACAAGGCCAGGTCGATTTTTACCTCAAGGGGGAGAGATGTCTTGGTTATTTACACACTGAACTTCAAAACATATGCAATAAAGACTGGTAGAACTACAAGGCAGTATCTTAAGCAGGAGACTTTAAACCTCAAGTAACAAAGACAAGGCTGAAAGAAGATGTGAATAGTACAGTTGGCCCTTGAACCACAGGAGTTTGAATGGTGGGGGTGGGTGGGTCTAGTTATATGCAGATTTTGTTCCACCTCTGCCACCCTTGAGACAGCAAGACCAGCCCCTTCTCTTCCTTCTGCTCAGCACAAAGATGACGGCCTTTATGATGATCCACTTAATATTTTTCTTAACATTTTTTCTTTATAATACATAGAACATACAAAATATGTGTTAATCAACTATTTCTGTTTTCAGAGGGGCTTCTGGTCAACAGTAAGCTGTTAATATTAGTAGTTAAGTTTTGTCAAAAGCTCTATGTGGATTTTTGACTGCATGGGAGTCAGTGCCTCAACCTCTGCGTTGTTCAGGGGTCAACTGTATAATTAACAGTATACCAAATACACAGGAAACATCTACAGAAACTGATCATGTATAGGTGATTGAGTATCACTACTTGTAGATATTAACACACTCAGTAATTCTTGGGGGGGAAATGAAACATACCAATACTTAGAGGGCCACCTAAGTAGTAAATAAATGTGTTTATTAAAAAAAAATCACAAAACCAAAATCTGGTCCATTGAAAATACTAATACAATAAAAAAGGCAACCTAAGGAAATATAAAATAGCAGAACTGACAAGGCCTTAAGTACAGATACTAAAATTACAAGAAAATACTATGAATATAGCATAGTAAAAGTTTGTGTTCTCCATTATAAAGTTAGCAAATAGCTCTGATACCAAAAGGTCAACACATACTGCAAGAGAAAAACCAAATCTCAATTTTGGACACACCAAAAAAATCTTAAACATTGGCAAATGAAATTTAGCAGAGTTTATAGAAAGATACATCATGACCAATAGAATTTATCCAAAAAGTCAAAAATGGTTCCAATGAAAATATACAAATGGGTAATTTATCATATTAACTGAGTAAATACTGTGAATCTCAGCACTCATAATAACCACTCTTAGTTACCCACAGAAAACAATGATAATGGATGAGAAAAGTCCCTGTAGTCAAGAACCAGGTATGGATACAGGCTATTACCATGACTTTTTGAAAAGAAGTGGCATACAACTTTAAAAGGAAGAGACAAAACTATCATCATTTTTAAATGATATCTCTAGAGAAGCAAGAGAAGCAATTAACTATTAGAACCAGATTATTCAGCAAGATGGCTGGAATTAGGATCATTCAGAGACAATAAAGAGATTAATGACCTATCTGTAATGTTTTAATTTTTGCAAGGAGAATAAATGTATATATTTCTTTTAAATGAAAGAGAAAGGCTTTGCTGCTTAGGCCATAATATAGGAATTCCCTCTGCCCGCTACCTTGGTAGTGGAAAAGGTTGAACTATTCAGTGGCACTTTCACTACAAAAGGTTAAAAAAAAAAGTCTCAAGGGCTGGGGCCCCAGCTCCTAAAAACAAACAGCAAAGGCCTTTGATATGTAAGCCCAGGGCCCATGGTTTATTATTTGTTTTCAGTCCAAGTAATTCAAATGGGGCATCCCCATTTCAGCCCTGAACAAGACGACAAAGAACCTACAATATAAAATGATTAAACTGCTATCAATTTAAAGACAATAAATTCATGTAATTTCCACGCCATCACTGATCAGCATATGCCAGATGGGCATGTGATCCTGCCTTCTGCTAAAGACGGAGAAATAACCAACAAAACCATCTCTTGAACACCAGTGACTGCCATGACAGTGCCCTGTACACCAGACTTTTTTTTACAGTCTGATGATATCATGGTGATACCTCTTCACACACTTCTCTAGCACCAGAAATGCTGAAGTTCTTAAAGCTAAGTGGTGTTTAAATCAAAGTAGCCTTGAACTTTCATATATACAACATCATGTTAAAATATTTATATTATAAAGAAAAACCACGATAAAGTCTCTGGATTTATGTCCGATCCCTACAGAGGTTTCTCCTGAAAACCCAACTCTAAACAACATGACCCAGGGAACTAATTGATTCCTAAAATAGGGCAGGGTAAGTATCTAGTTTGCCAGAAAATATTCCAAATAAGCCTCTTTGCCACATAGGTACAAGTATTCCTATTAAATAAATAACCAACAATATTTCTCAAAACATTCCTTTAAAAACTTAGGTGTAGAAAAGCAAAACAAAAGCCTAGACAGCATAAGCTCAGTACTTGAAAAAGCAAAACCTCTATAAATTTCCTTATCCTATCTTTGTTTAAAAATTCTACTTTTCTTTATCCCACTAGAAGGGACGTAAGGAAAAAATTCAATGAACACCCCACAATTAACCTCTCCTAAGTAGACTCTTTTAAAAGGAAGACCCTCCCAGACAGTGCTGCACAGTACTCAGACCAATTTCATGGGTCCATCCCCCATCATCAAGAAGCTGGTTAACTAGTCACATTCCACTCTGGGACCTTTCCAAGCCCTTGATGGAGTCACCAGAAGTCACAAATGCCACTCAAGCCCCCTTTTAAACCCAAAGCTTATGCATCCAGGATATCTTTAGAAAAGTGGCCCCTACTTTCCACCCTGGAATGCCATGGCTTCGGAGGTCCAAAGGATGCTCTAGTAAATGCCTTTTGCTGGGCCTTACTGTCTAAACAACATTCTGTCTAGCACTTGTTGCAGGCAAACTGAACCTCAAATAGGCCATCAAGTTCCTCTGGAGTCTCCTAGACCCCTGTTTATCCTCAGGGGAAAGGTGCAGAGGGCGTAGCCTCTGCAAGGCACAAGCAGGCACAGGTCAGTATTTACTTACACATCAAGGGTTTTCAACATCATCGTTTGGGCTGCCATCAGCTGCTCCCACTCTCCCTAGGCAGCATGGCTGCAGTCAGGACATCCTCCTGGGTGAGGACTGCAGCAAGAGAGGGCAGAGCCGCAGGGCAGGTGCCTTTCATCGCCCTGGGTGCCCAGGTCTTCTCTGTAGTAGCTGGGAGGATGACGGCTCCTGATCTCCTGCAGGCTCCTGGCGGGAGCCACGTGCCTTCAGAGCGTCTCCTCTCAAGACCCCTGGGGAAGGAAGTGAACCCTGAGGGCAGGAACATCTGCGTCCTCTCCTCAGCCAGCCGGCAGCTGCGTGGGCCCCCGATCAGATCCACTCCCCACCTGGGGAAGCCAACCCCTGCAGGTGGCTGAAAACCCAAGGCTCCAACTGGAATTGTCTTCTGATTTCTGGCTGTTCCAACATTGAACTCGTGAACAGGAGCCACAGGCGGCCCCGTGATGCTGCCCAACAACCACCGTCCACACCCTTCTCTCCTAGTCAGTCACTTCTCATCCTCCCTCTCAAGCCTCCAGCACCTCCGCCCCATCCTCTCTCTCACTGAGCAACTAGAAACACTCGCCAAAGAGCTTCCACCGGCTCCCACCACCGCAGCTACCCACCACCTGCCTCTGTGCCGTGTCCCCGTAGTCATCCCTGTTCCCTCCCGGGGCAGGGTTCCCCTCCTAGCTGTCAGGATCAGCACCAGCCAGTGCACTACAGGCTGCACTTATCCTGTTTACTGTCTGTCTCCCACTGGGATGGAAGCTCCACGAAGATTTTTACTGTTTTTAAAAGCTCCAGAGATTTTTACCATTTTGTTTACTGCCATATTCCCCAAATCTACAACAAAGTCTGGGATGCACAAGGTACAAACTGCTCTGTGGGTGAATGAATCAAGGACTGAACGGCTCCTTCCACGGAACGCATGCCCTAGAACCCGCCTGCAGCCGCGTTCGTGTGACTTGGCAGGACTCAGGACCCCGCGCACACAGAGCAGGAGCCCCACTCACGGTTCTCGCAGTGGGGGCCCTCCCAGCCGTCCCGGCACTCGCAGCGGTAGCTCCCGTTCTGCAGGACGCAGGTGCCCTCGTTAGTGCACGGGCTGGGTTTGCAGAGGTTGACTGGCCGCTTGGCTTCTACGATGGAGAACGTGCCCACCAGGCCCAGCCTGGGTCAGACCCAATGACCCCTTCCCTAAATAAGCCCAGTGCCGACACAAGGGCACTAGAATAGCATCTCACACGTCTTAGTGCCTCCCTTGGCCCTGAAGCAACAGGTTAGCAAATGGTTGGTGCTCTATGCTCCTTGGCTATGTTAGCTTACTAACCAAGACCCAACCTCCACCCAGCTTTCCTGCGTGCATATGGGGATTCTTTGGGTTATGCTGTGCACGTGGCAGCATTTACTACCAGGTGGACGTAGGTGGAGGCTCAGACTGAGGCCGTGCCTCGGAGGCAGCCCTGAGGGTGTGGATTCCCGCCTCACCTCCACAGATCCACTCGATGAGCTGGTCCTGGTGGTAGCGCAGGTCTGAGTAAGCTGCCACGTGGATCAGGGAGTCCCGGGGACCCGCAAGCCTCCGCAGTGCCTCTCTCAGGACAGGCCCCACACCCACAACCAAGACGGAGACGCCGTTGTTTCTCAGCTTCTGGGCAGGGACAGCCGCGTCCTCTGCCCCCCGCCCACCTGTGAGCATCACCACAGCCTTAGGGACGCCAGGCCGGGCGCCCCGCTGGACGGTCATCACTTTGTCGTAGATGTGCAGCAGGGCTGTGCCGGCCGAGCCCGCCCCACCCAGGTAGGGGGCCTGGCTCGTGGCCCGCAGCACCGCGGCCAGGGTGGGATGCGCGTCCAGCCCGAAGGCCGTCTGCACCCAGCTGCCGAACACCACCAGGCCGACCTGCGTCACGTCGGGGTTCACATCGAACCGCAGGGCACAGCTTCTCACGAAGCTCTGCATCTGAGCGAAGTTCTCGGGCCCCACCGAGGCCGAGGCGTCCAGCATGAAGACGAGGTCCAGTGACTGTGCCTGGCAGCCTGCAGGGGCACATGGAGTAAGCCTCGTGGGCTCTGCCGCCCGCAGCCCTGGTCTGCACCCAGCTGCACCGTGGGGGCTGCTCTGGGCTGGACGGAGCCCGGGTCAGCCAGGCTGCTCTGTCTGCTGCAGTCTCCACCCTCCACTCCTTCCTTTTAGTCACAGAACACCCCGCTCCTAGAACACTAGCAGGAATGTGAAGGCCCAGCTAGACTACATTTCCCAGCCTCCCTAGCAGCCAGGGTGGCCACGTGTCTACGTTCTCTCTGATGGGATGTGACTGGACATAATTATGCAATTTCTAACTTACCATAATTCTTGGGCAATTTCAAACTTGTGCAAGTGGAAGCTGCTTGCCTTCCACTTCCCCACTTCCCCTTCTTGCAGGCTCAGAAATGGTGACCCTGGACCTCAAGGTGGAAGCCACAGGCAGGAAGCCACTCTGCTGGCCCAGGCCACTCACCTCTGAGCTGCATGCAAAAGAAATAAACGTCTGCCCTATGTAAGCCCTTGGGCTTTGGGGACCCTTTGCGACAGCACCCTCACCTGTACTTCACCCATCCCCTGCATATAAGGCACTAATCATACAGTGAGGTCACAACGGGCTGACGCCTCCCTCAGCAGGCTGCAGTCCAGAGGGACAGACGTGAAATGAACACAGAATTGCGAATGGTGTGAGCAGCATGGGGGGAGAGCTGGGACTCTGAGAGATCAGCAGGGCAACATCACCAAACCGGGAGGAGGGTCAGGGCTTCTCCAGGAAGGTGACATTGCAGCTAAGAACTGAGGCCGAGCGAGTGTGAGCCAGCGGGGAGGGGCGGGGCTCGTTCCTCAGCCGGGGAGACGGTCTCCCCGGGCAGGGGCTGCAGACGGGCCCACGGGGGCCGGATCACAGACAGCTCTCAAAAGCCACGGAAGGAGCTTGGGTTTTACTCCAAGTGCAAAGGGAGCCACTGGAAAGGTCCAAGTACAGAGTTAGAAGATCTGATGTTCCCATTTATTGGTTTTAAAAACCACTCCCGCACAAGGAAGGCGTCTGAGACGCTGTCACAACCACAGGGCGCCTAAGGAAACAGGCTGACTAGACGGAAGGGATTCTGGAACAGAAAAAGGACAGTAGGTAGACACTAGGGAAATGCGAATAAAACAGGGCCTTTAGTCAATAACAACGTGTCAATATTGGTTCATTAACTGTAAGGACGGCCATGTGAGGTGTTAAGGGGAAACTGGACGTGGGGTGTAGGGAGCGCTACTATTGTCACTTTTTCAGTGAATCTACAACTATTCTAAAGCAAAACAAAACAACAGACAAACACAGAACAAAAGCACTCTCGCTGCAATGGGAGGGGAAACTCACAGGAGGGAGGGCTCTTGCCTTGGGGACAGTGGCATCAGCTGAGAAGCTGAATCCCGAGTGCAGCTTCCCAGGCCACCTTCCTATGAATGAACTCGGGAGCCCGTCTCTGGCCCCGGGCCAGGTCCCGCCCACTGCCTGGCAACGTCCACCCGTGGGGCAGTGCTCCCCAGAGCATCCTCCGATGGCGGGCCACCCAACCAGCCTCGTGGCTTGTGGAACAGGAAAGGGTGGGAATGCATCCCAGGCAGACAGGATAAGCATCGTCGCACGAAATGCCTGTTTCGGCGGTGGGCGTGTGTAGGTGCGCGTGCAGGTGTGCGTACTGGGAATGCGGGTCCCGCTGTGGGCTGCCATCAGAGAAGCTGGAAAGCTGCTGTCCTAGCGCGTGCTCAGTAGATTCAGAGCGCCTTGACAAGAATAAATCACAATAATAAATAGCAACACAGAAAACTCACTGGGGGCTTACTCTGTACTGTGTATACTGCTTGTCTTACTCCTCACGAAGAGCCTCGCAGGAGGTGGTACTGTCAGTCCCACTGTAGTGACAGGTACACTGAGAAGCTGCCGTGCAGCTGTGCAAAGAGCGGGGCTGTGGGTTCAGGCCCCGCACGGTGCTGGGGGAGGGGAAGTGGTGACCAAAAGGAGGCAAGACCCACGCGGCCCTGGGCCAGGCACCACCGGGACCTTACCTGGCTGCAGCCGGCTGCACAGCTTGCCCTGCAGCTCCGGGATTTGGTTGAACAGGTCCTGAGGGTCTGTGTAGACCATCACGTGCTTCGGGCTGCCCGTGATCTCCTCCAGCTCTGCCCTCACGGCCTCGCTGCCCACGCCCAGCAGGAGCAGCTCTCGGGCCCTGGCGTGGCGCGCGGGGCCGGCCACCTCGTCCTGCGAGGGCGACTCGGTGAGCAGGACGACCGCTCTGCGGGGCCGGTGCTGGCCCGTCCCGGCGGCACTCCCGAAGCCACGCTCTGCCGCCTGCCGCAAGGCACTGCCCGTCAGGGTGGGGCCGCCACTGAAGGGGACGCCGTCGAGGCTCCTGACCAGGTCTGGCACGTCCTGGTACTCCCCCACGGGGACGGCCACCAGCAGCTCCCTGCTGTACCCGGCCACGCCCACTCGGGCCCGGGAGTCCTCGCTCAGCACGGCCTGCACGAACCGCTTCACGAAGGCCTTGGCCCGCAGGAAGCCCTCCAGAGTGGCGCCCGCGGAGCTGTCCAGCAGGAAGAGGACGTCGATCCTGCACTCCAGGCTCAGCTTTGGGGCTGCCAGAATCACAGCGACACCCACTGTCACGCTGTGGCCACTGGAACGTGCAGATCGGTCCCACCCCAGATGCCCAAACACACCTGGGCCAGGAGCGATGCCCAGCAGAGATGGGACAGAGAAACCGGAGCCACAGGGGCTTAAGTGACCACGAATCATCACAGAGTTAGACAGACACGAGGCGAGACGAGCAGCGCTCCCTCCCGGCTCTCCCTACAGGTCTCCATCCAAGCACTTTTAAAAAAGCAAAATGGCATTGCTTTTATAACTTTTTCCTGTTATGGCTAATGCTTTCTGTGTCCTAAGAGGTCTTTGTCTACCTCAAGGTCAGGGAGACGTGCTCCTGTGTTTTCTTCCAGAAGCCTCACTGCTTTGCCTTTTACATTTAGGTCTATAATCCCACTGGAATTGATTTTGGATAGGTTTTGATGTATACCACCAAGATTCATTTTTTCCATACAGATCTCCCAATGCCACATTTTTTAATAAAGTTATAATTTAACAAGACTTCACTACATGTCAAGCATTGTACTAAGCACTTTGCATATGTAAGACCCCAAACTAGCCTAACCAGCTCTCCGCTTCTGTAACCACGCTTGCTTTTAGAAAACCAAGACCCCACACCCCTTCCGCCCTTCCAGTAAGTAGCTATTGCAAGTTCCCGGAACTGAGTACAACCAGTTGTGCAAGACAAGACCAGTGAAATTTCCCCACCCTAAACTCCCTAACCACCGGCGTGCGGTTTTAGCCTATAAAAAACCCCTAAGCTTGAGAGTCGGGGCGGCAGCTCCCCTAGCTCGGTGATGCTGCTAGCCCCTGTGCTGCGCTGGAAATAAAACCTCTTGCTCTTTTGCATCAAGCCTCTGGACTCTGAGTCTTTTTGAGCGGTCGTCTCTCTCCCAAACAGGCTGTACATTTCTGCGGCCCAACACATACGTAATCTTATTTAAAACCCTCATGCCTGTAATGCTAGTACTCTGGGAGGCCAAGGCAGGAGGATCACTTGAGCTCAGGAGTTCAAGAGCAGGCTGAGCAAGAGGGGGACCCCGTCTCTACTAAAAATACAAAAAAATTAGCTGGGGCCGGGCGTGGTGGCTCACACCTGTAATCCTAGCTCTTGGGAGGCCGAGGCGGGCGGATTGCTCAAGGTCAGGAGTTCAAAACCAGCCTGAGCAAGAGCGAGACCCCGTCTCTACTATAAATAGAAAGAAATTAATTAGCCAACTGATATATATATATAAAAAATTAGCCGGGCATGGTGGCACATGCCTGTAGCCCCAGCTACTCGGGAGGCTGAGGCAGAAGGATCGCTCGAGCCCAGGAGTTTGAGGTTGCTGTGAGCTAGGCTGACGCCACGGCACTCACTCTAGCCTGGACAACAAAGTGAGACGCTGTCTCAAAAAAAAAAAAAAAAAAATTAGCTGGGCGTAGTGGCATGTGCCTATAGTCCCAGCTACTGGGGAGGGAGGGGCTGAGGCAGGAGGATCACTAGAGCCCAGGAGTTTGAAGTTACAGTGAGCTATGACAACGCCACTGCACTCTACCCAGGGGTGACACAGTGAGACTCTGTCTCAAAAAACAAAACAACATAAAAAACTCTCAACCCACTGAGGTAAGGCCTATTATAATCTTCATTTCATATCTTTAAAACCAAAAGGGGTTGAGGCCCCTTGCTCTGCTTTCATAGGGGAGAGAAGAAAAGATTCTGCCCAGAACCAGGACCCGGCGTTGGGCCGGCTCTTCAGGTCGGCCTAGCAGTGGCCATTCTCCAGCTGAGAAGCCGGGGGCCACTGTCCCACCCAGAGCTCTGCCACCAGAAACACTGGTTCGTGGTGCACTCGGAGGCCGAACCCCACGGGACGGCAGACCGGTGGTGTGTTTGGAGAGCCGTTTAGATGGCCAAATCTCAGCGGCCGGTTTCTCCCCCGCAGCAAGAAGGCGGAGCCCATCCCCCACCTGCCACCCAGTGGCCAGAGCCTGAGCAGGCCCGCGCATACGTACCACAGTGGGCCTCCCCTCCGAAGGCCAGAGGGCAGAGGCAGTGGTACCTATCCAGGCCTTCCGGGACACATGTGCCTCCGTTCTGGCAGGGCTGGGAGTCACAAGGGCCTGTCGGAGAGATGCCCATTAACAGACATGCCCAGCTGCACAGAGGGGTGCAGAGACTCGAGTCCCGCAGGCCACCCTGCCCCACCAGGGAACGACCCTTCCTTCCCACATGGTCTACCAGGAACCCTGCAGCACAGAGGGGCATGAACTAATGAGTTCATAAAGGAGGGGCTGAGCGTGGCCGGTGCGGGACGCTCAGTGGTGGGAGTGGCAGGGCCCCGTGTGAATTACGGGCTCATTGCGGGACATGCCGACAGGACGTGAATCTTGGCTCTGACGCTGGGAACACCGGCCTTGATTACCCACAGCTGCCTGGAGCAGCTCAGGGCACCCACGGGGACTAACTGGTGTTGGACTTGAGCTTGACAAGGATGAAGAGCTCAGGGATGCTGCGGTGCTGATAGAGGTTTGTTTCTTTCTACACTCTGCACGTGGAGGTTCTAAAGGCCTCTGCGTCCCACACAGCAAAACGTGAGCCTTTGGCTCCTGCAGTCGGATGCTCTGCAATGAACGTGGCCTCCCCCACTTCCCCGGCACCTTTACTGACATCTCCAAGCTTCATATCTTCATCTAAGAAGGGGTGATGCTCACTGAACTGGTTCCATGGTATTATTGTGTGGATGAAATGAATCCATCCCGAGACAGTCCCAGCACAAAGCAAACAACCACAACAGGTAGTAACAGCATTTGCTTTTGGATCTGAGGTGTGAATTCTGAGTGATGTCTCTCTTTCAAGCCGAAATTTTACACAGGAAACCACAGTCTATGTCAAAATCGGACCCTTTCTGAAGTGTCAGATCTCTGCTACCCTGTGGGCGATATCTAAGCTCCCTGCCAATTTCTTTACCAATTATTATAAAATGCTGACAAAACCACATGACCTTCCTCTCAGGGCTACCGAGAACAAACAGGACCTTCATGAGCTCATACAGTCCAAGGACTCGATGAGCAGCTGAGTGTGGTTGCTATTAGGATTGGATATTTCTGTCCTTTTTGCTTAAAAATGTAAATATATCACTTGGTGGTCACTTCATTGTAATTAAAGCCTAGACTTTTCAAAGGTGGAAATGATCGAGGCTAACTCTGGGCGTCTTGCTGGGCCTGCTGTTGTGTCAGCCGGAACATCGTGGAAACAACTGGGGGCTCCCCGACAGCAGCAACAGTGGCCTTTCGTTGAGCATCTACTATGTGCCAGGGACTGTGCTGGCCACAATATATGCGGGCTCTCTTTTCACTGTCACGACAATCCTGTGACACAGGTACTATAAAAACCCCCATTTCACAGACAGGGAAGATGAAAATCAACAGGTAGAAGTCATGTGCTGAAGGTCAGGCAGTTGGTAAGGGGCAGAGCTGGGACTCAAACCCATGTCACTCTGCTTCCAAAACTATAAATCCTCAAACTCTAATTTCTGACCCGAAACAGCCCCACCGTTAGAGCATCCTATGATTCAGAGGCCAGTGATGCTGGAACTTTAGAATTGTGGAAGGGGGTGCCGAAGGGATCACCTGACCCCCAGGCAGGAACGCTCGTGACCCCACTGTGTCCAACCCCTGGCTCTGCTCCGGGAGGCAGGCTCCTGGCCAATGCAGGGTGGCAGATCCACACGGCGACTGACACCTACACGCTCGAGTGCAACTTCCTGCTCCTGGGTCAGGGGAGGCCCTGGCCGCGGGTAAGGGACGGGAGGGCACGCTGGAGACTGCGCTGAATGGTGCAGGTGTCGGAAAGTCCTTGTGTTTAGGATTTTATAGCTGAGGGAGCATGTCCGCGGGCTTTATCCATTGAGTCTTCCCTAGCACCCCTTGTGTGATACGCCCTATCACGCAGAGGAAGGAAATGGGGACTCCAGATATCGGGCAAACGTCACCCCATTTTATAGAGAGGGAAACCACTCAGGGGTCTTGCCCTGAGTTTGACGCTGGATTTGAGGCTGTCTGCAAAGCTGGTGCTGAGGGCCTGCCCCTCTCTGCCTCTCCCCAACACAAGGAGCCTGGGTTAAGGGGAGTCATTCCAAAGCTGTCACTCTATTCTCAGTGAAAAAATACCATGGGGCAAGGAGGAATGAGTACAGCACGAGCACACTCCCCTGCCTCCCAGAGGCACCATCCCTCTGCCCTGGAGCTGGGCCCAACCCCTCCCTCTGCCCCTGGATTATAAATGTCCCTTTACAAACCCAGAAAGAGCTGGCGAATGCTACAGGCAGACCGTACCTGGGCAGGTGGTCCTATAGCACGTGGCAGGGTGGGTTAGGAACACTTTCTTCCAGCTACGATCCAAGGAAACAAAAGGGTAGAGAGGTTTAAAGGGAGGGCAGAAACCTGGAGGATTATTTACAACACTAAACAAAGGAAGATAATAAGATTACAATGCACAAGTAGGCCAAGAAAGACTTCTTTGTTTTCTTTCTTGATTCTACCCTTTTATCTGCACACAGAGTAAAGAATGTTTCAAACTACCCAATTAAAAAGAAAAAATGATAATGTAAGCTATCTATTGTATTAGAAATTAGAGACATCTGTGTGCAAAATTCCAAATTATGGAAACAGCATTTTATGACAGGTTACTTTCTTTTTTTTTTTTTTTTTTTTTTTTTTTTTTTTTTTTTAGTATGATCAGAAGGGCAGGAAACAGGTTACTTTCTGAGGCCCACAATGCAGTGGGGAGAAAAGTGCTGGGAACCAGATTCTGGCTGTGTGCCCTCAGGCATGTTACTTTCCTTCTCCGGTCTTCTTCCACACAGTAACTCTATCTGCAGTTTTTACCTGCGTTCCTTGGAGCTTCAATGGAGAGAGAAGAGCACTGACAGGCCAAGGTGCCAGGCCACTGCCCCATCCCTTCATCCCAAACATGTGTGCTTCTACCTGGTCCACACAAGTGTCTACATGAGGCTGCGTAGCTTAAGAAGATTTGCAAACCACCAGACCTGATGACTTCTCAGGTCCATTTGAGCACTAACATTTTGTAATAACACGACGGCCACTGTTCCCAGGTGGCTCCATTGTTGCCTTGAACCCTCGGCCACTGGAAGACATGGTTATCTCCAACTTGCAGAGGGGAAGCCCAAAGTCCCTCAGTTACTGGACACAGTGGACCACCCGACTCCAGAGCCCGCGCGCTCTGCCCTCTGGGCGCCACCTCCCGCCTCTCCCGAGTCCCTGGGCAACGTGTGCTGCGCACCAGGGGCGGTTTCTCCCCTCGTGGGCAGAAAGCCCCAGTCTTGGTTGGATGCAGCTCCTGGTACCGCCTCACCTAACGAGACTTGGGCCTTGGCAAAAAAGTTCCCTGAAGTTCTCCAAAAAGGGCTTCTTCCCACCAGACCCCACCCAGGCTACCTGCCCCAGATGCAGGGTAAGACCCTCTAAGGCTGGGTCTTTCCCGGGGCAAAGTGGGATAAAAGGTAAGTCAATTAAGAACTCAAGGAATTGCTGAAATAACAAGTATGTCACGCTGCCAGCTCATTAAAGGGAAGTCTTCCCGGCCATGCTTATTCCTGGTGACCTCATAAAGCCACAAGTCTGGGCCCAGGAGGCTCCGGGGGCCCAACCTCCTCCACGGCAGAGCCCTGGGAATCGGCACTGATGGAGCAGACGCTGTCAGTAGGGTCTTCGCTGGGATCTGTCCCCACCTCCTTCGGGTCTAGACACAAATGTCACGTTCTCTGCAGGCCCTCACTGGCCACTCTAGTCCAGATTGCCACCCTGGGCCATCCCCATTCTTGCTGTCATTTCCTCCATAGCACTTATCACTGCCTAACGGCTTACTTGCTGTGTTCGTTTTGTTTATGGCTGTCTCCCCCACTGGAGTGTCACCTTAGTGGGTGTTTCCTGAGGGAGGGAACCGATAACGAGCTTCCTAGGTGCATTGTTCTAGGAGCCTGCAAGGTTAGTGCTCCTGCCTATCCCTCACCGCATGCTCTCAGCAGCCTTGCAGGGCAGGTGCTATTACCACGCCCCTGCGCAAATGTAGAGACAGGCAGTGCATGTTCGCAGCTCACTAGTGGTGATGCTGGGATTAAAAATCCAGCAGCCTGACTCAGAGTCTGCGTACAAAACCCAGGAAGTATACCTTCCTCCCACCAGGCTCTCCGGGTGCCTCTGCCCATCAGCTCTGCTTCCCAGCCGCCCGAGACTGCACAAGCAGCACCTTCTCCAAGAGGTCCCAGGAAGAATGGGATGCACCCCAGCACCTGGAATGCCTCAGGGTGGCCATTGGTCTCCTCATCGCCCCCTCTGGACCACCAGCTCCTTAGGGGCAGCAACTGTGCCATCTCCTCATTGCCCACTGCCTGGCTCAGAGTGGGCGCTTGGAACCTGGTCACTGAGGAACAAATGCCTCCCTTCACTTGAGAGCTTGAGTTCTGAAGAGAGCCTCTAGGGGCCCCATTTCCTCTGACTCCCATGCAGAGACATGGCCCTTCCCAGCCAAGGTGGCCTTTGGAGTCTCCATCAGCCCAGCACAGCCCCTGAGGCTTCTCGGCCAAGCCATTCATTTCATCGCAGCGTGCTGTGCTCCGAGCTTGTCACTGGGTGCAGGACCAAGGGGCAAAGATGCGACTGGTTCAAACTCCACCTCCTGGCCCTCTGGAAAGGCCAAGAGGGCGAGATCACAGGTCTCTGGGCAGAGGCGCTGGGTGGCAGGCAGTCTGGGTAAAGTGTTGCCGCATGGCGCAGGCACGTTTGCGAGGGAAGGGCTGGTGGCAGGTGGCAGGTGCTCCTGAGTGCCTGGGCCCCAGTCTCGAAGAAACCAGCATCCCCACAGCCTCCGTAACTGGAATCATCCACAGATCATCCTTCTGCCTCACTCAGCCCGTATAATGCGGACACTGGTGCTCAGAGGAACTGAGTCACCAAACCAATGTCCCAAGTCCAGACCACTGCTCTGTAGGGCCAGCTCCGGGCTCCCTCACTGGCCTTCCCGAACGGCTGAGACCTGGCCACCCTAGCTTGCCCTGGGCTCCTGGGCTGTGTCAGGGAGACGCTGCCCTGTCGGCTCCAGAGCTGCGTCCCTACCTCTCTCCCAGGTCCCCTCCCATCCCTGTCACAGGCTCCATGGCCACAGCCCCAAAGTGCTGTTCTCCCTGCGGCTGGTGGGTGCTCGGCCTTGGGGGCCTCCGTGCCCACCCAGGCCGAGCCCAGACCTTGCAGACAAACCTGTAGAAGGGACAGAGCGTGGCCAGCACGGCATTGGTCCGCCGCGATCCTCTCCAGCACAGGGCGTTGCCGGCGAGCTCCCGGACGGTCTCCAGCGTCCTGCGCTCACAGGGGTGAGCCCCGACCCTGCAGTCTGCGTCCACGGCACACACCGACGGAGAAGACGAGGTTACCCTCCTTCCGCCACCCACACTCCCCCAGCAGATGCTCCTGCTCCTGGAGGTTCCACCCCACCCCTGCCCTGGCCACACCCTCTGTCTCTGTCAGGGCAGAGCACCCCAGGTGAGGGTCCCCACCCTGCCTGTTTAGTGGGGCAGCCAATCCCTGACATTTCCTCTGCAGGGCCCTGCCCCACACGGCTTTTACATAACATGTGCATATGAACATCCCACATAACATACATCACTTGAGCTCGACAGTGGACCCTGATGAGGACAACTAGAACACAGGGATCTCGCTCCAAGCCTGAAGGCTGCCTGTGCCCACCTGTGCTGAGCAAGGCAGGGGAGCACACTTTGTTCTAACTCCTGAGCAGAGGACAGGCCCTGGGCCCCTCCTCTTCTGTGGAGACAAGCTCAGTCTCCCAGATGTGAAACCTGCAGGTTGGGACATGGGGACAGAGCAGAGTACCCAGTGCTAGCCTTCATTTCTCTCGCCCTCCCTCCCTGGGGAGGCTCCTGGGTCCTGGCCTCTTGCCTCGGGGAACCCTTCCCCACCCCAGCCCACTCCCTCCCGGGCCACAAGGTCTTACCCGGAGAGGCGGCGGTGCAGATGCCAGAGCGGCTGAGGGTGCTGAGGAGGCCGTTGGTGGCATCCGCCACCTGCTCAGCCAACAGCACGTGCTGCTCCCTCGGCTCGCTGGCCAGCGTGTGCAGCTCTTCCCACCTGTGCCAAGAAGTTATGACAACTTACTTGTGGCCCCATGGCTGCCTTCCTCCTGCCCACCCATCTCCTGGGCTGTGGGCTCCTTGTGGACGGCAGCACCCCCTGCAATGACCCAGGGGCCACTTAGCAGCGACCTCGTCCATCTAGGACGAGGATAACGGCTGAGAGGCGACCACAGAAAGTCCTTAAGGAAGCCCCACGTGGGTCATGATATATGCACATTCAAATTCACGACCTTCCTCCAAGGACAGCCTCACACTCAGAGCCATCGGCTCTCACTGCAAAAGCAGCCCTAACAGACTGAGTCATCTGGTTTTGCCAGACATAAGCTGATGAGAACAATTAACCAGAAGGGATATGAAAGAAAGTGGCACTAGGTGATAGCAAGCAAATTGCAAATGAGGACAGCTAGTAATAGAAAAACATATTGAATTATGAACAGTGGACGTAAGAAGGGGAAGGCTAGCCCCGTGAGGCCGTCTAGGGCAGGCAGCCGGCACAGCTCCGTGGGCAGAGCAGCACTGTGAGCGCCCAGGATGGAATGATGTGCAGGGCATGACACTAGGGCAAGAAGAAAGGATTAAATGATGTTTAAAAACCTCTTTTAAAGAAGACAGGGCAGTCAGTAATGCATCTGGAAGAATCTTACCATCAAAAAGTCATCAGAGTAGACCAAGGTTTGGCAATAGGGCAAAAACCTCATTCATCTCTAAAATTCACTTATAAAGAACTCCCGTTCTCCTCTGAACGCACAGAAACCAAACACTCCTCCCAGGACCTGGGACAGGGCCCCTGCGCACATGCGCACAGAGGGGGCCGATCTGTCTCGGCCCCACAGTGGTGGCGTGTGGGGCACTGCAGCCACCCTCAGCCCTCCCGGCCCCAATCTGCTGGCCACGCCATTGCTCATATCCTGTGTCCGGCCACTCCTCAGCAGGCCACAGCTGCGTCCCTGCCAGGAGCCACCTTGCCTCTTGTGAGAGCCACTCCAGGGGCTCCTAACTGGTTTCCTCCCTTCCCCTATTACTGCCTCTCCCCTCACCACCATCCCACCAGCCTATTCTCTGCATGGCAGCCAGTACGACCTTCTAAAGATGTCATTTCCCTACTCAAAACCCTCCAGGGACTTGCTATCCTACTCACGATAAACTCCAAAGTCTTCACTGTGATTCACAAAGTTTCTATGACTTGACTCCTGCCCTCCTCTTCTGCCTTATTTCTTGTAAATCTCCCCCTTGCTTCCTGGGGTCCGGCTCCTCCCTGGCTATCTTGTGGTTCCTTCCTTAACACACCAAGCTTGAGACTGCCTCAGGGCCTTTGCACCTGCCATCCACTGCCTGCCTCACCCATTCTTTTCTCTGATGTGTGGAAGGCTCGTTCTGCACTTCACTCAAGTTTCTGCTAAAAAATCAATTCCCCAAAAGTGGCTTGAAGGACCTTCCAAAGCTACCTAAGACAGCTTTCCTCTCTATTCCCCATCATCCTTTAACCTCTTACCCTCCTTTATTTTTCTCCTTTGCATTCTATTTCTACCCGAAATGACAATTTCACTTATTTATTATCTAGTTCCTTTCCTAGAATGGAAACTTCGAGAGAGACTCTGCATTGTTGGCTCCGTATCCCAAGAGCCTAGAATTGTGCCTGTCATGGGGAAGACAACTATATTTATTAACTTACAGAATGAATGATGCACTAAAGTCAGTACAGAGATTTCTGTGTTGGACACAGTGCCCAGACCAGAGTCATTGCAGTTAATGCCCACAATAGAAACCCAGGGACTAGATAGAATGTCCGTTTTTAGGGTTAAAAGCACTAAGGACCTGTGCCCCTCCCCTTCTAGGAAGGCATAGTTGCCCACCATCTAGATCAGTGGGGATTGGGGGGCAGCCAGTCTCAGGCTCCCACTCCCCTGGCCCCAGGAGTAGGCTTTCATTCAGGCCAATCAGCATCCTTTCTTGTATTATTCTACTCAAAACTGGGGAAATGTTGCTTTTCCCTCTGGGGCAGAGCTGTGAAGACAGGAGCTACAGCGCCGGCCACAGCCCTGGTTCCAGCTTCCAGAGAGCCAGGAGGAGAGAAGAGGCAACAGGCAGAGAGAACAGCGGAGATATGTGGTGGACAGGAAGAATCTTGATGGCACTGAAGTTATTGGCTCCTGCCCACCCTGAGGGACCCCCATCCCACCCAGTGAAATGAGATGACTCCATGAATTCCCATTTTTGCCCAAATAAATGTAAGCTGAACTTCTGGCATTTGCAACCGAGTGTTTGGACAAAACCCAAGCCGATGCAACCTCTCGGGCCTCCCGAAGACTGGAGCTTCCCGTGCACCAGGCCCAAAAGGGCAGAGCGGGGAAAGACGGATCCACGAGAGGACCAGGATGGCCCTTCCAGCTCCCCTCTCCCCCCTGTGGGTCTGAAGCCTCTCAGCTGTGTCCCCGTCCCCAGGCTGGCCTCTCCAGGGCTGACCCAGCACGACTGACGCTCTTACCTGGGAAAGCGGACCCCCACGGCAAACACAGTGACGCCCCTTTCCTTCAGCTGCTTGGCCAGCGGCGCCACATGCCCCTGGGACTTCCCATCAGTGGCGAGGATGAGGACCTGAGGCACAGAGCCGTTTCGGCCTCCAGGGAACCCTGTGCGCAGAAGGTGTTTCAGGGCAAGTCCCGTCTCTGTGCGTCCTCCTCTGTGCGCACCCAGAGGGGAAAAAAGGAAGAAGAAGAAGAGTGAGTGACGCAGGGAGGTAAGTTGGGATAACAGCCTGAAACCCACGGGCTCCTCTGTCCCGAGCGAGAGGCTGCCTTCTCCTAGCAGCAGCTCACAGGGACAGGTGCACCTTCTAAACCACAGCAATGAGGAGCAGAAAGTAACTTTGTCGGTGACCTTGGGATTCACTCTGCACATCTCTGCTGTATTCTGTGATACTGTCATTCTTTGTGTATTGGGGGTTTTCTTTCATCCTCTTCCCCGCCCTCAGGCATGACCTGGGCTGGCAGCTCTCACCTCCCATCTCCCCATCCCTGTAGCATTCTCTTCTTGTTACAGCTCAATATCTCTTGGGCTGGGAAAGCAGATGACCGGGCTTAGGAAAATCATGTGTTAAGTAAGGATCCGTAAGCACGAAGGAGAAGGCTTTGATGCAAGGGTCTGATGAGAATCTTTTCCATGATCCAGGCCTTTCTGGGCCATGTCCAAGTTCAGGGTTGGGTGCTGGAAGGCTGAGCTGTCTGACCACCTCCAGATCGGGATGGGTTACGGGACCCCATCTCATCAGGATGCCAATGGTCCTTGATTTGCCATTGCTCACTGAGACTCTCTAATTGCCATGGCTCAGTTATAGGGACTGTCAATGGAACTTGGAATTCCTGCACAGGATCTCTGCTAACTCTCAAAATAGGAGGCTCATTACCTCAGAGAGAGAACTGCCAGCTTCGACTGTCAGCTGGCTAGACAATAATGACTTGCTACAGTGGATTTTTAGGTCACTGAATTGTGAGTCAGTCCTTATTGCAGCCAAGCAATTCAGATGATGGTGGCCCATCCAAACATGAGCAACCACATGAGGCTGACGGGATCACTGTGGTTATTAACTATATGCACAGAGGAAACCTCATCAGAGATTACTCAGAAATACTAACTGCAGACTGTAGATGGTCAAGGGGCAAACATTTATACTCAGATTGTACTCTGACCATAAATCAAGGCAGTGCTTCCCTTTAATTCAGCCCATTCTTTAATGTGACAACATCCAACTGACAAGAGGCATGGGCACTGTATTCTGTGCATTTCGTTTTAACACTAAAAATGTCTATGTCTCGTGCAAGTCTGACACAGGTCTTCCTGCCTGGGCATCTTTCCTGGTTGGTTCTTCTCCTAGCAACTACTCAGGAATCCAGGCTCCTTTCATTTCATGGTTCCACCTTCCTCTCTGGTCTCAAAGTGCTCTTCACTCAGCAAAGATAGGGAAAGAGCACAAAGATCTTGTTAGGGAACGGTTTATGGATCAGGCCTAGAATATTCTTCACTTTTGTTGCTTTCTATTTTAAACTAGCTCTTGATGGGCAATTCTCTTTATAGAGCTCCATTAAATTAATAAATGTCAACAAGAGTAGACAATGCCTACCTAGAATTAAGACTCAGTCTACTATGCATGTATACATGAGGTCTGTCCTGAAAGGATCCAGCCATTGTTAACATAACAAGAACAGTTTGTGTGACATCCATGCAACCTGGCAGCCAAGAAGAATAGACTGATATGTACATGCGTGAACGACGTCACTGTACTAGTCAGTGGGGCTATAGACACTGTTGAGCGACCTTGCGTACTGTGTGGCCATTGCTTCAAAATGACTGAACAAGCAACGAATGTGTGTCAATTTTGCGTTAAGCTTGAACATTCCTCTGTAGAAACTATTGGGGTAATTTAGGAGGCTGTTGGGAATGATGCACCGAGTGCAGTGCAAATAAAGGTATGGCACAAGTGCTTCAAAGATCGTTGAGACAACCTGTTGAAAATGATCCATGTTCTGGAAGGCCTGCAACAAGCAGACATCTGATAATTCTTTTTTATTTCAGCATATTATGGGGGTACAAATGTTAAGGCTAAGTATATTGCCCATGGCCCCCGCCTTGAGTCAGAGCTTCAAGCGTGACCATCCCCCAAACGTTGCACATCTCACTCATTGTGTTTGTATATACCCATCCCCTCCTCCCCCTCCCACCTGCCCGACGCCTGATAAATGTTATCCCTATATGTCCACTTAGGTGTTGATCTGCTAATACCAATTTGCTGGTGAGTACATGTGGTGCTTGTTTTTCCATTCTTGAGACATTTCACTTAGTAGAATGGATTCCAGCTCTATCCAGGAAAATACAAGAGGTGCTGTATCACCATTGTTTCTTAAAGCTGAATAGTACTCCATGGTATACATATACCATATTTTATTAATCCACTCACATACTGACGGGCACTTGGGTTGTTTCCACAATTTTGCGATTGTGAATCGTGCTGCTATAAACATTTGAGTGCAGGTGTCTTTTCTGTAGAATGTCATTTGATCTTTCGGGTAGATGGCCCAGTAGTGGAATTGCTGGATCAAATGGTAGATCTACTTAATCGCTTTAAGGTATCTCTATATTGCTTTCCACAGAGGTTGAACTACTTTGCAGTCCCACCAGCAGTGTAGGAGTATTCTTCTCTCTCCACATCCATGCCAACATTTTGTTTGGGGACTTTTTGATAAAGACCATTCTTACTGGAGATAAGTGATATCTCACTGCAGTTTTGATTTGCATTTCCCTGATTAGAGATGTTGAGCATTTTTTCATATGTTAGCCATTATTCTGTCTTCTTTTGAAAAATTTCTGTTCATGTCCTTTGCCCACTTTTTGATAGGGTTGATTTTTCCTTCTGATTTTCCTGAGTTCTAAATAAATTCTAGTTATCAGCCCTTTATTGGATGTGTAGCTTGCAAAAATTTTCTCCCATTCTGTAGGCTGTGTGTTTGTTCTCTTGACAGTTTCTTTGGCTGTGCAGAAGCTTTTTAATTTGAATAGGTCCCATTTATTTATTTTTGTTGCTGCTGTGATTGCCTTTGGGGTCTTCTTCATAAATTCTTTGCCTAGGCCAATGTCTAGAAGAGTATTTCCAACGTTTTCCTCTAGAATTCTAATAGTTTCACACCTAAGGTTCAAGTCTGTTACCCAGCATGAGTTGATTTTTCTGAGAGGTGAAAGGTGTGGGTCTTGTTTCAGTCTTCTACATGTGGCTATCCAGTTTTCCAAGCACCATTTATTGAATAAGGATTCTTTTCCCCAGTGTATGTTTTTGTCTGCTTTGTCAAAGATTAGTTGGCTATATGAGGATGGTTTTATATCTGGGTTCTCTGTTCTGTTCCACTGGTCAATGTCCCTGTTCTTGTGCCAATCCCAAGCTGTTTTAATTACTATAGCCTTGTAGTTTGAAATCTGGTAAATTGATACCTCCTATTTTGTTTTTATTTCCTAGGATTGATTTTGCTATACAGGGTTTTCTCTGGTTCCATATGAAGTATAAAATTATTTTTTCTATATCTATGAAAAATGATGGTATTTTAATAGAGATTGCATTGACTCTATAGGTCACTTTGGGTAGTATAGACATTTTAACAATGTTGATTCTGCTGACCCATGAGCATGGTATATTCTTCAACTTGTTTACATCCTCTATTTCCTTCTTCAGTGTTTCATAGTTCTCCCTGTAGAGGTCTTTTACCTCTTTAAATATATTCCTAGGTACTTTATTTTCTTTGTTGCTATTTTGAAGGAAATTGAGTCTTTGATTTGGTTCTCACTTTTACTGTTGTTGGCGTATATGAATGTCTCTGATTTCTGTGTATTGATTTTGTATCATGAGACTTTACCAAATTCATTTATCAATTCAAGGAGTCTCTTGGTTGAATCCTTGGGGTTTTCTAGGTAAAATATCATGTCATCAGCAAAAAGTGAGAGTTTGATCTCTTCTGCTCCCATTTGGACACCCTTAATTCCGCTCTCTTGTCTGATTGCTGCAGCAAGGACTTCCAGCACTATGTTGAACAGAAGTGGAGATAGTGGGCAACCTTGTCTTGTTCCAGTTCTAAATGAGGAATGCTTTCAATTTTTCCCCATTCAGTATGATATTGGCTGTGGGTTTGTCATATATGGCTTGTATCATTTTTAGGTAAGCCCCGTCTATGCTTATTTTGTTGAGCGTTCTTATCATAAAAGGGTGTTGAATTTTGTCAAATGCTTTTTCTGCATCTACTGAGAGGATCATCTTTTGCTTCTGTTTATATGGTGAATTACATTTATAGATTTGCATATGTTGAACCATCCCTGCATCCCTGGGATAAAGCCCACTTGGTTGTGATGGATTATTTTCTTGGCAAGCACCTGCATTCGATTGGCTAGGATAATATTGAACATGTGCAGGTTAAGAGATGCTGAGAGAACTGTGTGAGGTCCCAAGGTGCCTACTTTGAAGGGGACTGAGGCATCATTGTCCTATGGACAATGTTTCTTGTATCATCTTCAATAAATGTCTCTATTTTTCACAGTACATGGCTGGATACTTTCCGGACAGACCTCACATGTTGACATCTACATCAGCTAAAAATTCACTTGTTTTTTTCAACCCACTAAGTGTTTATTGTAGGCCCTCTAGATGGAAGATGGTGAAATGGAGACCAGCAAGTATAACACGATCCCACCCCTGAAGAAACAGGAGCTATGAGACAGACAGCAAATAAACACCAACAAAGGGATGCAAACAACAGGCTTCTGAGGAGTGAGTTCACTGTGGGTGTTGGGGAACAGGATTCAGAGGAGAAAGAGTGTCTGAGTGGCGTCCTGGCGAGTCAACTGACTAGGAAAGGAGGCCATTCCAATCAGGAGAAGGAAGGTAAACAAAGACGCCAGTGAGCAACATGAGCTGCGAGAGCACAGCTTGGCTTGGGCCCCGGGCGTGTCAAAGAGCAGCAGAGCATGCCTACATCGATGCATCATCATGGGGAACAGAGCGCCCGGTATCGACGACCCCCAAATGCCCCTAACTTCTCTCACACCGTACTGGATGGCACAGGAGATACTAAAGACAACCGAGTGGATTCTGATTCTCAGAACACTGTTGCCTTCGCCAAAGCTCGTGTGGCAGAACATCTCCCATTTCTAAAGGATGATATTAGTACTGAGCTGCCACCGTGTGCCAGACATTTCACATACATGTACCAAACGTGATCCTTACGACGACAACGGTAAAAGGTGCCAATGTTATCCTCATTAACAGATAAGGCAACCCCTGATCAGAGAAGAGTAATAATAACTGCTAATATTTACTGGCACTTGCCAGGTGCCAGGCACTGTGCTCAGCCTCTACCTGGAAAATACTTCATAAGAAAACCCGCAGTAGGTATGGGTACATTGATTACAGCTTTTTGTTTTGTTTTCTTTTTAGCAATAGACAAAAATCCTGGAATCAACCTCAATGTTTCCTGCTAGGGGAATGATCAAATACACTGTGATAGCTGAATTATTTGGATTATTGTATAATCATTCAAAAGGATCAACATGAAAAATAATACAGCTTCATGCAAAAGTACACACAAAATGATATTATGTAAAAACACAAAGAAAATGCTTTGTAATTCTAGCTCTTCTAAAAGCTATGTTTGTATGTTAATGTGGATTAAAAGGGGGCTAAAGATGACTGTGAAAGGTTTTGTGCTAAGGTAATGTGGTGATAAAGCCATACAGTCCTGACAAAGCTATAGAGGAAGTCCAAAAAATTCAGTCCTAGAAAATTCAGGGCTGTGTCCCATGAGGTTACTGAGATGAGCACGCCTGAGCAGCCGGCTGGCCAGGAGCCCTGTGCATTCAGGAGCTGACTGCCAGCATGTTTCATCTGATTTCATGTCATCATGGAGTACAATATTGGAAAGTTTGACTATAATATTTTTAAAAGTTTGTCTTGCAAAGTAATAAGGTGGTTGTCAGGGTTGTTTCTTAATTACCTCAAAACATACTTTTTGGGGATCACCTTGGTCTGGAAGGGCAAGTGTCCTGGGTTTGGGCAGAGCTGCCCTAATCAGCCCAGCACTTGAGACTTCCCTGCAGAGAAAGGGGAAAGTGCCTGAGGTCACCACACCCACTCGCCAACATTCCTCTGCTCTCATCCACAACAGCATGTCTTCATTTAGTGTCCTCAGTGACCCCACAACTGTGGCCCAAAATTAGTTTGTCCCTCCTTGCCTTGTTTGTTGTTTTTTTATAGTTGTCCCGGGATACATAAGTGCTAACCACACACATCCCCAGAAGAGCTGACTTTGTTTAGACACGTAAAAAAATCTTTCTCTACTCTCAGTGTCCTCTCCTCCTTAGTGTGGTCTCTGCATTTCAGATGTCATGACTACTACTCTCTAGCCCTTAGTTACGACTTTCAGCACAGCTGAAAAGAAGCTCAACTAATTATTTGAGGGGGTTGGGGGAGAGAGGTGGGAAAGGACAACTGGGTGGGACCCCCTGATTCTGGCCAAGTCACCCACTCAGGCTCAGCCTCCTCCTCTGCAAAATCAGGAGCTGGAATAGATACCAGATGATCTCTAACGTGCTTTTTTGTACCAATTCTTTGCAATTTGCTTCGTTTTTCCGAAGACAGCAGGGCTGAACCATTTGAGTCAAAGTCAGCCAAGGGGCCTCTGACTTTCAGTGCTAAATTTCAAACCAATAGGCTAATTTTTCTTCTGCAATTTTTTTTTCCTGCAAATGCATATTAAATGCAGTATGCATATAATGGGTACCAAGCTCTTTAGTATGACTACCATATTGATATAATTTATATACCATAAAATATACCCTTTTAAAGCATAAAATTTCAGTGGTGTTTAGTATAGTCACAGAGTTATGCAACCATCACCACTAAGTCCAAAACATTTTCACAAATTTTTATGTGTGCATATGTTTTTAATTCTCTTGAAGCAGAACTGCTGGATCATATGGCAAGTCTATATTTAACATTTTGAGGAAATTTCAAACTGTTTTACAGAGTGGTAGTTACTGCTTTACAATCCTACAAGCAATGTATGAGGGTTCTAATTTTTCCATATCCTTGTCAACATTTATTATTGTTAGTTTTTTATTTTAGCCATCCTGTGGCTGTGACATGGTTATCTCATTGAGGTTCTAATTTGCATTTCTTTAATGGCTAATGCTGTTGACCATATTTTCATGGTCATATTAGCCATCTATATGTCTTCTTTGGAGAAATGTCCATTTACAAGGTTTCTTTTTGGGATGATGAAAAAGTTCAAAAATTAGATTACGGTAATAGTTGCGTAACTCTGTAAATATGCTCAAAACCATTGAATTGTACATGTTAAATGTGCTAACTTTATGCTATATGAATTCTCTCTCAATAAGGCTGTCTTTAAAAGTTAGGATGGGTAACAGTCATAGGGAAGGTTGGGGGTGGGGAGAGACCTTTTAAAAATGCAGATTCTTAAGTATGCCTGGACTGGAGAGTGATTCAGTAAATCTGGGAGGGAGCCCAGGCACCTGCATTGTTAACATATTCCCTAGACGATTCTAGCCCAGGTGGCTCTAAGACCTCACTTTGATAAGTGCTGCTCTGTGTGTCTGAGGCCCAGATATGGAAGCAAAGCTTGGACTGTTCTCTATAGGAAACCAATTCTTGGAGGCTCTAAGGGCAAAAGCCTCCTAGGGAAAAAGGGAAGGCCATTTGTGCACTGCTGTATTTATTTAAAAATATATCAACGTGCTTTTTCATTTTGTACTTTCTTGCATATAACTTGCCTCTCATTCTGTTCAGGGTACTCACGGACAGAGGAAAGGGCTGGGATAAACATTCTAAGATAAAGTCACGGAAGACCCTTGGGGCCTCCTTGGGGCCGGCAGAGCCCTCAAAGTTCCAGCTGTGCCCAGCATGTGGCTTCAGGCTTCTTGAGAGCCCTGGTGGACCTACAGAGCCTGCAACTGGAAAAAGGACCTCAGAGCTCAGGACTTTTGCAACTGGAGAAGACAGCCATCAGTGGCTGGGACCACAGACCTTGGCAGGACTTCAGTGGACACTAGCACAAGGGGCAGCTAAGACCAGAGGGGATCAAGAGATCAGAGTGGCCAGGGGAAATCAAAGTCATTCTTCTGTGACAGCTTATGAAAAATATTATCTCCATGTGTGTATGTATATATGTGCATGTGTATATGCATGTGCATCTATGTGTAGCTTATACAGATTACATGTAGATATACATTTATACAGAGACATAAAATTGCACACACACATTTCATACACATACGCATCAGCTGATTTCTAAGTTAGAATCCCACTCCACACACATATTAATAGGGTGTATACATACAAGTATGAGCACATCGACAGCTATTCATAATTTTTAAAGCACTCTCAGTAACAGAGGGGCACATACTCTTTTCAGACCACAAAAATGAGGTTCAGAGAAGTGTGGTAAACTGTCCAGGCTGCAGAGATCACAAGGGACAGAAATGGGACTAAGACCCAGAGTTCCTCCCACCACCCCATGCTTTTAATCCCAATCTCAACTCTCAATTGCATTTTCCTCCAGGTAACTGACACACAACAGCAGCAAATACTTCTTCTTACTTGCATTTAAATTCCTACCTGTGACATTATCATATAATAATATGTATATGTGTGTGTATATACCTATGGGTAGCATATGTAGATATAATAAATATATAAAATTATACATTTACATGAAAGCCTTGTGAAGGGCACTCCTTGTACCCACCGTGCACAGCTGAGGTTCTCCAAGTGGCCCACAGTCCTCTCTGTGAGGCCGAGAGCAGCGCCAAGCCCTCCGAGGGAGCGATTTTAAGAGCGGCTGGCGACACCCTAACCACAGCAGTATCCGACCATACGTACTTGAAGACCATCCTCTTGATTTTTGCCTTCACTTCCTGTCGGGTAGAAAACGAATCCAAGGGGAATTCCAGATGCGGAGCGGAACTGAACTGGAGTGCTCCCACTCTGACCTGCAGGGGACAGAGGGCCCGGGGGCCCCGAGATGGGGGGGTCAAGACATAAACATTCCTAAGAGGAAAGAAGGGACGAGAGAAGTTAATGACCCTGCCCCCTGCCTACTCAACAAATCCCAGTGCTGGAGCTTCCTCCTTAAAAGAAGTTTCCAGAGACCAGCTAGAGAATCTGGAAGGAAACAGTCTGCCTGTGCTCTGCACTGACAATCCCCAATTCAATCATCCAGTCCTACCTCCCCATAAAGGCAGCTGAACGTTCTGGCAGCTTTCTCAGCTGAGCTTGAGCACCCTTAAGGCAGGGTCTCTGCTCACTTTTATCAACTGCCTCCCTGGTGCAGGCGCTGCTTTGTGGAATCTCTTGCACTGTTTCGTTGAAACCACGGAGGCACTATTAATACCCATATTACTGCTGCAGAAGCTCCAATGTGGAAAGGACACAGATCTGGCCAACGGCATGGGCTCACCTGCCCACAGCTAGCAAGAAAGGGGGCCAGGCCACTGGGCTTTGTCCCTGTGGTCTTCCCTAAGGCTCAGCTACTCTGCCTGCCTTCTCGGCAGCAAGCACAGGTGTGCAGCAAAATTTGCAGAACCAAGGGGGTGTGCCACAGAAGCTAACCACAGCCATCATCACGGGTAGCTCATCACCAACCACAGCCACCGCTGCCCATTCTTCACTGGGTGGTCAGCCCCTATAGGCCTGCTCTGGCCAAGCTAGAGAGAGGTCAGTTCTCTAGACCAGAGTCGGACTGGGGGAAAATCAGTACCCAAAACTGAGCCGGGCGATACTGGAGCTGAAGCTCCTCTGAGGTGGGGGAGGGAGAGCACTGGGGAATCCCAACACATTCATGTCTGAACTGAAGAGGCTACAGGTGGAAACCCAAAGCCTTACAAAACTGGAGAAGGGAAACTGAGTAAAGTCATTCTCCGGTGGTGGGGCTCGTGCGGCCTCGGGGCCATGCATGGCCTTCTGGATCCTCGAGTGCGGCCTTTTGACTGAATCCAAATTTTACAGAATGAATCTTTATAATAAAGAGATTTGTTCTGTGAGGTTTGGATTTGGTCTAGGGGCCGCACTCTGGGATCCGGAGGGCCACATGTGACCCCAAGGCCGCAGGTTCCCCACTCCTGCGTGGAGATCTTAAGCAGAGGCGGCTATGAACGTTCAGGTTTCCTCTTGAGAGAATAAGCCCTGCACCTAGTCCTTGGTTCACCAAAACCCTTGGAGAAAATTCATTCTTCGTTACTCTCCTTCCAGCTAAGCCCAGTTCAAGCCAAGCTTTCAAATGGGACAATGACTCATATTGAAGCAATGGCACTGCCTTTTGCTCCCCGCTTGAATCCTCTCCCTGCCAATCCCTTGACAGGCCCCGGGGCTTGGGAGGTGAGGAGAGTGCCACACCTGGCCACCTGCACCTGCTCCCCAGCGCTCAGCTCTGCTGGCTTCCCTCCTGTAGGCAGGAGGCTCTGTGAGGAGGAGTCGCTAGGTGCTCTGAGTGGGAAGGAGTCTGGGTCTTGGGAGGGCTCATGGCGGGAGATGGAGGTGACAGAGCAGGAGGCAAACTCAGGAAGAAGTTTCTGAGAAGGAAACCTTCCCAGGTTTCCCTTGAAGTTAGTGTGTGATAAAAAGGGGTCTCTCCTGGAGAAAAGATTGTCTAGTCAATAAATGATACTGGGACAACTAGACAGCCATCTACCAAAAATAAAGCATAAATTACAAATGGAGTCAAGATAAGTGTGAAAAATCTAGCCATGAAAGTTCTAGAAAAATTCCTGGGACAATTTTTTAAATTTCGAAGTGCAAAAGACCCGTACTTATTATGACTTAAAATCCAGAAGCCATAAAGGAAAGATAAATGTGAGTACATTAAAAAAAAAATCTACAGGGCAAAACATACCTAAATGCAGTAAAAAATGAAGACAAAATGGAAAAATTACTTGCAGGTCATGTTGAAGACAAAGGGTTCGTTTCCTCGATATATAAAAAGAGTATCTAGGAATCGATATATAAAAAATCCACAATCCATGGAAAAAGGACAAAGGAAATGAACAGAGATCACAGAACAAGAAATACAGATGGCTCTTTAGTGGAAAGATGCTTGACCTCACAACAGTGAGACACCATTTTTCCATGTCAGTTTAGCAAAAAAACACATAGAATGTTTGCGGGGCTAACAAACACTGCTGGTAGAAATGTAAATTGGCACAGCATCCATGGAGTGCAATTTGTCTATATTTACTGAAAATTAAAAATGCACAGGGCTACTGGAAATTTATCTTACTGACATACTTCCACATACATGAAATGATGTACTCACAAGATCACAATGTATTTATTAATAGCAAATAATCACCAGCAGGGGTTTGGTTAATTAGATCTTGCTAAATCCTTAGGATGGAACATTAATTAGCTGTAAAAATACTATATACCTGTACACAGATATGAAAAGATTTTCAAGATAATGTGAGGAGGAAAAAAGCAGGAGGGAGAACAATGGGTATAGTATGCAATCCCTTGCATAATAAGGGAAAAATAAGAATATATATTCATATTGCTTGTATTTCCATGAAATGATTCTGGAAGGATACTCAAGAAAAGAGGTCAGGGGACTGGTCAAATGGAAAATGTGTGGGTGAGAGGAAGACTTTTCGCTGTGTATCTTTTTACTGAGCCCTGTGAATGAATTAGTTTAAAAAAACAAAAAAACTCCCCTGAGACCAACAGCTGGGTGTATTACTTAGATTAAACAGGAAGGACACAACCTCGAAACAAGAAGGAAACAGCTGAAGTCAGTAGTTAAGGCATTTTATCTAATTGGTGGTTTGGGCAGAAGAGTTGCCTTTTATCTCCAGTTTGCTGTAGGCTCAGAAGCCAGTCCGCCTGGACTCCTCCTCACATTGTAATCACCCGCTGCAGTCCTTACCTTACAGCCAGGAAGTGAACTTCTCAGCTTTTAAGCGTTAAGAGGAACACTTCAAACACCTTAAATCCACCTCAAAACAACTGAACATCCATAAAATCCTTCATTTACAGCTACTTGAAAATTTCTTCCCTGAAACTAAAGTTACCGAAAGTAAAAGAAGGCGCAAATCAAATAACTCCCTTGCACATGGAGACAACAAGAGGAGGACACAAAAATGCAGCAGCAAAAACATAAAGCCTGAAGCCTGAACCATCTTCAATCGCCCTCATGCAAAAACCCTTCTTCAGCACGCCAGGGAGTCTAAGTCAGCACTCCAGCACCGGGAGGTCGGGAGGTCGAGACTCCCTCGCTCACCCAAGTCAACACTGGACTCCTTTGCTCCCCCAATCTCGCTGTGAGAAAGTTTTTCTCAGGTTAAACCCAAATTTAACTCCCTGAATATCCAGATTCTTCCCTCCTGATAAAAATGGGGCCACTGTGCACCCTCTTCCACATGAAAATGGCCATCAGGAATCGATATATAAAAAATGCACAATCCATGGAAAAAGGGCAAAGGAAATGAACAGAGATCACAGAACAAGAAATACAGATGGCTCTTTAGGGGAAAGATGCATGACCTCACAACACTGAGACACCATTTTTCCATGTCAAGAAGTTTCCAGGCCTGTCACGGGTCCTGGCTCCCTCCTCTCACGGGCACCGTTTTTGCCAATATCTAACCTAAAAACCAGCCTCCAGAACTCAGCGCCATGTTGTAGATGTGGTCCGGCAACAGCACCAGCAAGGAAGTTTCTTGTCATGGCTTTCTTATACGCCCAACCCGTCCCCCGCTGCCACAGTGCTGGCTGGCCATTTGCTATGTGATAGCGGGGTGTGATTTATGAGGGCCATCACCTCATTCTGGCCCAGAGGCTACCCATGGGGAGGGAGACAAATGGCCTAATGGAGCAAGTGCCAGGCTGAGAGTCAAGAGCCCCAGTTCTTCCACACCTAGCTCTTTCCTGAGATTGCTGTGCAACCCTAGGCAGTCACTTAGCCTCTCTGAGCCTGTTTCCTCATCTATAAAACAGACACTAAGAAAAATCCATACAGCTCTCCTCTCCCAACTTGCCATCCTCAGGGACCTCCAGGTCACTTGTTTGAGGACACACTACACATCATTGCCAAGGTCAACAGTTTTTAATCTTTATGCTACCTCCTCCATGAATAACAGGGAAACTTCATGGAGAATCCTTTCAAAAGCAGGGCCCCGTGTGGAGGAGCATGGGGATTCGGCAGTCCTTGGCCCTGGCCCTTTAGGGTCTATGCTGGGCCGACATCATGGTCAGAACTTCTGTCCAGGCTGCTCGTGCTTAGATTGAATGATGTTTGCTACGGGGCCTTCAGATGATCGTGTAAGGCTGTCTGCGGTCCAGCTCCCAATATGACATGCCGTTCTGGAGAAAATCTGGCCTTCATTAAAAGCCACTTTTGTTCCTAAATCCTAGAGGTTTTACTAGGATTAACCTAGGAATGTTATCTTGGAAAACCACTTCCTTCCTCAACCTGTATGTGACTAGTCTCTAATTCAAGTAATTATGGCTTATCCAGACCAAAACACCCATCTTAGTTTTTAACTTGATTTTTGAGTAGGTTCACGTGGTTCAAAATGCACAGACAAAAGTCTATCTGTATAGATGAGTCTCCCTCTGAACTTGAGCCCTGTCTGCTCACGCCCACCACCTCCCTCAATGGGAAATCTCTATTCTCAGCCTCCTACAAATCCCTCCAAAGTTTATGCACATACAAGCAGAAACAGATTCTCATTCCCCTTTTTTTACATAAAAAGTAACATATTATACATACCATTTGCACTTTACTTTTTATACTTATTTTTTTCTGGTGCCTGTCCATAGCAGCTGCCCAATGTTTTACTATATGAATGCACCATATTTTATTTATTTGTCTCTTCTCAATGTATATTTGGTTTGCCTGAAATCTTTGACAATTATACAGAGTTATTCATTACAGCATTATTTGATGAGTATTATCTGCAGAATAAATTCCTAGAAATAGAACTGCTGGGTCAAAGAGTGCAAGCCCGTGTAAGGGTCCAAGCTTTTGACAAATACTATTATATTGCTACATAGAGGTTGCACCATTTTACACCCACCCAGCACTGTAGGGGAAGACTAGTTTCTTTAAGATTTGCCAGTGGAGCATATTACTAAGCTGTGTATTTTTGCTAGTCCAGTAACTGAAAAATGGTATGTCAGTTAGAGATTTGCTATTACATTGAGTGAGGTTGGGCATCTTTTCATAAGCCTAAAGTCCATCTGTGTTTCATTTTCTGAGAACGATCTGTGTTCACTGCCCATTCTTCTAGTGGGCTGTTAAAAACGTCCCTTTTAGAAACAATTACCACAGCTCTCACGCTCTGCTGATCTTTAAGACCTACTATTTAAAGAATAAGGAATGAAAAAACACTGGCTGGATTCACTCAGGCAGAAGTAGTCCCTTTCAAGTGAACAGAGAGGGTGGGAGCTGTGCTTCATATTAAGACCCTACTCCGCTGAGGTAGTAGTTTTGTTCCACTAGGCCAAAACTATTTCCCTTTCCTGTTGTACTACAAACACAAATCTCTCTTTCTAGTGGAAAATCAAATCTACTTCCCCGCCCCCAAAACTTGACTCAGGTCTGGCCAGAGACTCCCTTCCCTCCGACTACTGTGATTGGTTAAGGGGTTGTCATGTGAACTAAGCCTGCCCAATCAGAGCCTTCCCTGGGACTTTTGCCAGATCTGCAAGGAAAGAAGTCCACTTGATTTATACTGGGCTCGCTAGCTTGAAGGACAATGAAGGGAAACTTTGCTATGTAAGGAAAACCTGCCTGGGAGGGAAGCCAACCAAGGAAAGCAAAATTGAGAGGAGAAAAAGAGAACAATGCTCAAAAACCTCCACTGAGCCCTTGGGCCCCATTGTGCCTGACACCAGGATTCACCTCCTTGATCTTCCCAGTTCTACAAGCCAGTAAATGTCCCCGTCTGTTTAAGAGAGAATTTCTGTCACTGGCAGCCAAAGACTGATAAGGCTTGTACTCACCCTGTCAGGGCTGATGTCCAGGGCATCACAGACCGTGACGGCAAAGTGCTTGGACCTTTCAAAGCTCCCTTTCCCAACGCTGTGAGACCCGTCCAACAGAAACAGGATGTCCACGGCAGCCGAGCACCACATCACTGCGCGGAGTGGGACAGACGGGTGACCATCAACTTCCCCGTGGTTTGGCAGCACGTGGGTCTCACTCTCAAAGCAGAGTGAAGGCAGAAACGACCTTGTGGGGGCCCAGGCTGCTTCTCCTCAGGGGAGAGAAAAACTGTGGAAGGTCCGGGCCAGAGGCAGCCCCCCTTTGAAGCGGGAAGCACACACCCACCGTTGACACAAACATGAAAGTCTTTGTAACGACAGAAGAATCTAGTTCAACGACACTAAGTAAGCTCCACAGGGGGTCTCCTGGGCCTGTGAGGGACACTGAAAAGCCTTGGTCCCAGCCCTCAAGTGGCCACAATCTAGTCCAGACACAGCCAGGCACCCTGATACATGAGGCCATGTCACCGAAGAGTTCAAACAGCAGAAATCACAGCCACGTGGAGGGACGCTGATTAAGGAGGAAGAGGAAGGGGCACGGAGGGAGATGGGGTGTCTAGGTGGATGGTGGTCAGGTGACAGAAGACCTTGAGGTGCAGGCCAAGAAATTCAACCATAGAGATGTATTGATTTTGCTTTGTTTTTGTTGTGTTTTGTTTAAGCAATGAGAGTGACTTGGTCAGGCCCCCGTTTGGGGGAAATGACCCTGGCCACACAGCAAAAGGAAGACAGTAGAGGGGCGGAAACTATCCGCAGGAACACAGTTTCCCCTGGGTCAGTCATGCCGGGGTCTGAGTGGGCGTTTGGAAGGTTAAGAAAAATGCCGACTTACTTTTGCTGGCCACCGAAATCTTCCCGACGGTCTCCCTGCTCACGAGGACCTCCTGCACAGGGAGGGAGGGGGGGACTGGGAGAAAAAAACAGAGAAGCAGACATTACAAGGCAATGGGGGAGGGACCGTGAGCTCCATGTTATGTGACCAGAACGAACAGGTAACAGGAGAGAAAACAGGAAGGTGGAGGAGTTATATTCACATCACAACAGTTACCACGTGGATAACATAAAGAAACTATGTCCCAACTCCCCCAGAGTCTGGGGAACAGGCAGGTGGTGACAGCAGCCAACTCAGCAGAGAGCAAATACACACTGGCCACAACACAGACCAGGGAGGAACTGCAAGCAAGAGTCGCAGAGGCCACAGTCCAAAGCCCTGGACTTACAGAAGCGCATCCGCAGGTAGACGTGGCCAGCTCAGCCACCCGGCCCACCTGTTCTTGCTTGTGAGGCAACGATCTGCAAACACAATGATTCCTTCCTACCCTCTCATATTTGAAAGAGGCTAGAAATATGGGAGGGACAAAGTGGGAAACAAACTTGATTTGCTCCATTATTCATCCATTAATGAGCTGCTTGAGCAAGGCTATGTGCCACGCCCAGTGCTAGGCACCGGATCACGCCGCAGTGAATAAACAATATGCAGTTTCAAATAAAAACCACAATGAGATATCACTTAACTCCAGTGAGAATGGCCTTTATCAAAAGTCCCCAAACAACAAATGCTGGCATGGATGCGGAGAGATAGGAACACTCCTACACTGCTGGTGGGACCGCAAACTAGTTCAACCTCTGTGGAAAGCAATATGAAGATACCTCAAAGCAATACGAGTGGATCTACCATTTGATCCAGCAGTTCCACTACTGGGTATCTACCCAAAAGATCAAAAGTCACGTTATGAAAAAGACACCTGCACTCGAATGTTTATAGCAGCACAATTCACAATTGCAAAGCTATGGAAACAACCCAAGTGCCCATCAATTCATGAGTTGATTAATAAAATGTGGTATATGTATACCATGGAGTACTACTCAGCTTTAAGAAACAATGGTGATATAGTACCTCTTGTATATTCCTAGATACAGCTGGAACCCACTCTACTAAGTGAAGTATCTCAAGAATGGAAAAACCAGCACCACATGTACTCACCAGCAAATTGGTATTAACGGATCAACACCTAAGTGGACATATAGGAGTAACATTTATCAGGTGTTGGGAGGGTGGGAAGGGGGAGGAGGGGAGGGGTATATACAACCACAATGAGTGAGATGTGCAATGTTTGGGGGATGGACATGCTTGAAGCTCTTACTCGAGGGGGGAGGGGGGCATGAGCAATATAAGTAACCTTAACACTTGTACCCCCATAATGCGCTAAAATAAAAAAAAAAAAAGAACATGCAGTCTCCTTCCTCATGGAGCTTACGTGCAGTGAAAAAGATGTAACTTTCTGAAATTCTCACGAAAGTAAACTCACATCTGTGTTAAGTGCTACAGAGCAGAGGTGACTGGAGGTTTGAGTAGGGGGATCTGACCTGACCTGGGGGTCCCAGGGGAATTGTGCTGGGTGCTGAAGGCTGGGTAGGAGTTTACCAGGGAGGCAGTGTCGGGGTGAGGGGGTGATCCAAGCAGAGGGGCCGCCGTAGCTCAGAGCCTCTTTGGTGCTAGGGCGGGAGGACGCTGGGCAGAACTGAGAGGAGGGTGGGGCTGCCGTGCAAAGCGAGAGGGGAGGAGACACCAAAGGGGACTTCACGTGGCCATGGACAGGATCAGGCAGGGCCTCTTAAGAGCAACGGAAAGTCACTTGAAAGTTTTAGGAGGGGGTGGAGAAAGGTGCAGATACGATCAGATTTGCATTCTGAAATGGCTGCTGAGCGGAGAGGGGTTTGGAGAAGGACCTCGCAGACCCGGGGAGACCGGCCAGGAGGCTACTGCAGTGGTCAAAGCACATGAAGATGCGGCTCAGGCCAGGCAGGTGGCCGCGGAGCAGAGAGACGTTCTGAAGTTAAAATCAAAGGGATCTGAAGCAAACAAAACCCCCAGGACTTCCCTCCGCCCCCGCCCACCACCAAAAAATATCTTACCTCTGGAAAACAGGAAAATACAGACGGCTTCCAGCAACAGGAAAGGGGGCATGTTGATATAACCTGAGGGCCAGGAAAAGAAAGCAAGCATCAGCCGTTAGTTCTGTGAACTCCCCAAGTCACACTTGCACCAAACAAGATGACAACAGGCCGCAAATATGGCCCCGGAGGGCCCCTCTCACCACAATAACTACAGGAGCCGGGAGAAGACCCAAATTCCCAAAAAGCCACAGAATACTTTACTCCAACGACTTGGATCTTAAACAACAATCTAATACCTTCTCCGGAATACCACTCTCACCCTGCAAACCCACCCAGCTCTCCACGCACCCTGGGGACGCATGCTCCGCTCAGAGCTTAGAGTCCTGGTCTCAGCTCTGCTGGGCCCTGACTAGCCACACGCCCTCAGGTTAGGTCACTCTCCTCTCGGGGTCTCCATTTCTTCATGAGCAGTTAGAACCCGAGAGGTTCAAGATCTGTTTTCAACGTCCTCATTCTCTGAAACCTACTGAGGTTAACGAATCCGTCCCTACCTAAGGCGGCAGCATCTGAAGAAAGCCTGTACTTTGTAAATTACTTATAAACAGTAATTTGGCTGAGGAAGGAGTCAATTATTTTTTTAAGTTGTGCATTACATGCTTCTAGCATGGGTAAAATTCCATTCCATGGAGCCTGGTTATTTACCAGTTTTTGAGAGATGGGGAGTGAGTTCTTTTTAATACAAAACGACGGTCTCTGGTTCCCTAAGGGCACACACCTAAGGTCTGCTTTTAGCTGGGAGGCCCAGGAAATGCATCCTCACCATTTTAATCACAGACGTCATGCACGCTGCAGACACAAGTGAACAGAAAAAGTCATACTGAATGAAATTTAGACTCCCCCACCCCCTCCAGAATAGTTTAGCAGGGAAAAACCTAAAAATATCATAATAGGGTCTAGAAATTCAAGATCACCCTATAATTTCTCTGCATTAAACTTGCCCACTAAGAAAAGACTTGGCAAGAGCGAGGCAATGCTACATGCAGGTCTAAATTTTGCTTCCATCAAACAAACAACACTGATGCTCATTCTGGAGCTAATTCCAAGCAGAAAACCCGGGGCAGAGACGTGGGAAGGGAAGCAGTGCAGGATTCCAGGGCCGGGAGGGGCCGGGCGCAAGAGACAAGTGGTCAGTTGATGCGTGCGCCATCACCAGAGTGCACCAGTCAGTGGGAACCCACTTCAGCCTGATGCACTCCAGTCTGAAAATCCCTCTAACGTCTTGAATAAGTGCCACTCTCCTCCAGCTCTGAACACAGATGACAAGGCAGGCATGCCAGGCCACCCTCACTGGGGAGCATCATTTCTCCAAAACACACGGCAGAAGCTTCCTGATCATCTTAAGCGGCTCACAAAAGTGCCTTTCACCTAATCTGCACTAAAAGGAATCCTCTCATTTGCCTGATGTGCTCTACCACCTCTGCCAGGGCGTAAAAGCTACAGGAATAAAATGGAAGTCCGACTCCAAATTCAGAGGATTTGCTGAGCAGGCTGAGAGCTATGGGTGCCCTGAAAATTAAAGTTACCCGGGAAACATTGCTGCTTTTGATGTGCAGAAAAGTTTAGAATGACCTCAAACTCATGTTCTTAAATTGCTGTTGCCAGACCGTACTTGAAATTGCAGGAAATACGAATATCCAGTGGGGTGGGGGACACTTTCATGGGACTCTGCTTACCCCTGGGGTTGCATTCCCGCCCGCAGGGAGCAGGAACGGGGATCAGAGGGTCTCAGTATGATGGAAAGGAAGGAGTCTGAGAATGGATGAGCCGTCCAGCACCTCAGGGACGGGCGGAACGGGTCACCAAGGCTGCAGAGGGGGCGGTCACAGAGCTCCGGGTTCCAGCTCCTGGATCATATGCTTTCCTTTAACCACCGAGCCAAGGGCAGCTCAGGGGACTTGAGCCACGGCTCAGGACTCCACCCACACCGAGAGGGCGCACCTGTAAATGACCCCTTGACAGGACGCATGGCTTCATCACCAGGCGTGGTGGCAGACAGCCCCCAATCTGCCCTATGACCCTGAGGGAGGCCGTGGTTCCTCACTTTCGAAACAAGGAGATGGCCCGGATGCTGCTAAGGTGTCGCCTCATTTTAAAAATCCCATCTGATTGCCTCCAACGCGGACCTGCGGCGCTCAGACCGCATGCAGCTGTGCATTCGGCCCCTCGGATTTCAGGGCAGCCCTGAAACAAACTAAATCGAACGTGCCTCTGAGTTAAAAGGATCGGTTCTGTAAAATTTGGAGTCCATCAAAAGGCTGCACTCGGGGATCCAGAAGGCCACATGTGGTCCCCAACGCTGCAGGTTCCCCGCCCCTGACTCAGAGGCTCAATTCTTCACCTAATCTAAGTGGAGATCGGGTCTAATACTGCATGAGCGAGGAAGTCGGGGCTCCCCAGACACACGATCAAAGGGAGAGAGGTGGCCGGACAGGACGCTTCCCTGCTGGGGGCTCACAGGCTTCCTGCAAGCCTCTGCCCCGGGCACATCAGCAAGACAGACTCGTGGCTGTCCTTCCCCCAAGGACATGTTTTCTTCCTCGATTTCCACCCAACAGACGCAGACAAGCCCCCACCTGCCGCCTGGGAGCCAGGCAGGTGCGAGGCAGTGAGGATGAGCGGCAGTGCAGGCAGGGGTGAAGGGCTTCTCCATGCTGTCTAGTCTTTAGGTGCAGGACGATTTTCTGGGGTTACAGCTTCTGACCACGGGCATGTGCAGGAGACCGAGGCTCGGGCCTGTTGATGATTTATAAAACAAGGATGCTAGCAGCCGGCTCCCCAGCTGCTGTGAGGATGAAGCGGGAGGGAGTGCAAAGGTTACTGCCACGCAGGAAGGCGCCCAGTAAACATAGGCCCCCCTCGCCCCCGCCCTAAGCAACTTCATCTCACCCTACTCTGCACCTCTGCTAGCCCAGTCCACTGTTTTTCCAGAGTCTCCTAAGTTTATGCTCACTAAAACCAAACGTGTGTTGGCAATCTGCAAATGGATGCGAGATGCCAGATGCCTCTTCACAAGCATCTGGAAAGGTACTGACTCTGCAACCTCAGCTGCACCTCCCCTCCTGTCCCCTCAGCACAACCTGTCGTCACGCAGCTCATGATGGAACTGCCGGTGATAGGTGCACCTTGGCTGCCAGGTGGCAAATGCCTGGGGCCGGGCACTGCAGCGAAGTCTCTGCTGGAGCCCTGGTGACCTGAATTTGCCTGGCATGTAGTAGGGGAGGTACATACTTGCAGGGTAAGCAAAGCACCAGAATGCACACCGCAGACCGGCTAGAGGGATCCTTCCAGGTGCATCTTTGCAGTCACTGAATACACTGTGGTTTTTTTTTTTTTAATACCAAGATAACAAATGAAAAAAAAAATGCTATTTTTTCGTTGGGGTAGTATTGTTAGCACTCTTTGACTCTTCCCACCCAATCATCTCAAATTCTCAGTTTATTTTCTTCTCATCACATATCAGAACTTTCCTACAATACTAATTTGACATCCAAAATACAGCCCTACACCTGGAAGTTTTTTTAAAAGATGAACGCCACAGTAAGAGTCAATAGCTACCACCATCTAGTGTGCATTTACCAAGTGCCTGCCACCAGGCTCCGCATTTTGCATCCTTTGTCCTAATCCGCACAGCCAGCTAGTGAGGGTATAATATCTCCATTTTACAGATGAGAAAACTGAGGCACAGAGAAGTGTTTTGCCCCAGGTGATGCACAGCTAATTGGTGGATCAGAATCCGTTCTGGCCTCCCAGCGATCAGTTTATTCTGTCACCTTCCTGGTTCTGGGGAAAGACTGGGAGCCACTACAGAATGCTTAACAAGGAAGAGGTGTTGGGGCTAGGGGGCAAGAGGGGACACTCTGGCAGAAGTCCAGGCTCCAGGAAAGAAGGCTATGAACTATGGGCAGTAATAAAAGAACAGAAGCATAATTAAAAATCTGCCGGCTCAAATCCTGCCCTGTGGCAGTTTTCCACCCAGTTAATACCTGCCAGTAACTCCCACGCTCAAGCACATAATGTGAGATTTCCAAGGCCTTCTGAATTCAGTCGGGAATGATCTGCAAGCCAGGGGCAGGAACAGACCTCTCCTTCCCAGGTACATCTAGTCCAGCCTTTCCCATTCCAAAACACCTCACACAGCACCTGCCTTCCTTTCTGTTCCATTACGCTGGCTAATCCCACGCATCGTTCCTGGCTTCTGGGGTTCTCACACGTGGCCTTAAATGGCCCCCCACCACTCCCCATCTCCTCATCTCATTGTAATCTTCAGATCGAGGTTCTACCCGGCACTGGCAGCATTTGGGCAGCTGGCTAGTGAGGTTTGCTGCAGGTCACAAAAACAATCCACTCTGCTCTACCCAGGGATTCCATTTCCCATGACACAGGAAGAAAAGGCCAAACAAGTCTACTTTTTAAAAAGCAGGGCCAGATTGGCAATAACCAAGGGCAGTTTTGCAGGACAATGCCCGCCTTCTCCTCTATGATTGCAAGTGAAATGAGTGTAGGGTGAAAGAGCAAACCATTTCCATCTCCTTACAAAATGCAATTTCAACCCCAAATATTAGCTCTTGGCAGCCTCTCTGAATCAGTGGGATGGAAATCTGAGCCCATTACAAGAATAGTGAACACCTGAATAGGAAGACTAAAATCAGAGGTAAAAGTCTCTGGCCAGGAAGTCCTTGCTGTCTTTCGCTGTAACAATCATCCTCCTTGTCCATTTGGCTCAGGGACGGAGAGCTAGGGATGTGGGTGACATGTTTCTGGTTTGCTATGGCAGAAAGAGTATTTTACACACTGCTCAGGGAAAGTCATGCTTCCTAAAAAGTATCAGCAAATTTTCAGAACCCAGCAGCCTGACAACCAAAAGTCAGCACCAAGGGACAAACAATATGCCATTTGTTATTGGGTGGTTTTTTTTTGGAGATAGGGTCTGTCTCTGTTGCCCAGGCTACAGTGCAGTGACATCACTGTAAATCACTGCAACTTTGAACTCCTGGACTCAGAGATCCTTCTGCCTCAGCTTTTCTAGTAGCTGGGAGTATACATGCATGCATCACCTTTCTCAGCTAATTTTTCTATTTTTTGCAGAGACAGGGTCTTGCTATATTGTTCAAGTTGGTCTCAAACTCCCAGCCTCAAGCAATCCTCCTGCCTCAGCCTCCCAAAGTGCTGAGATTACAGGCATGAGCCACTGTGCCCAGCCACAAAACACTTTTTTCTTTTCTTTTTGAGACAGAGCCTCTCACTCTGTGGTCCTGGGTAGAGTACAGTGGCATCATCGTAGCTCCTTGCAACCTCAAACTTCTGGGCTCAAGCAATCCTCTTGTCACAGCCTACTAAGTAGTTGGGACTACTGGTGTGTACCATAACACCCAGCTAATTTTTCTCCTTTTGGGAGAAACAGGGTCTCACTCTTGTTCAGGCTGGTCTAGAACTCCTGAGCTCAAGCAATTATCCTGCTTTGGCCTCCCAGACTGCAAGGAATATGCCATTTTTGAAGCCTCTGGAGGGTCAGGGAGAAAGCCAGGAAGATGGACGTAAGTCACAGAGCCTGCCACACTGCCTGCACCTGCAGAGAGACATTTTTGGCCAGAAGAGATTTTCATGTGTGATACTATGTGAACATGCTTTAGGTGGTACAGAACCCCAATTTACTGCAGTGGGACTTGGAGAAGCACTGAGGTACAGGAGGACACATACAGGAAGCCCAGCTCTGCTTCTATCACTTGGGTGACTCTGCAGGCAACAATCTCCCCTGCCTCAGTTTATTTATCTGTCAAATGGAGAGAATCTCAGTTTTACAAATTCACAGTGTTGTAAACATCGAGTGTGGGAAAGTCCCTGCTAATGTAAAAAGCTTTCCCAATGAACCAATGATGTTCAAAGATTATCATTACATTGAATACATTAATTACCTTAACAACACTCATTACTTGTAGAGTAGACATTTTCATTTCCATTTTTATAAATGAGGAAATAGTTTTGGAGAAGATGAGCTCAAAGCCAAAGGGCTAGCAAATCACAAGCGTGGGGGCCAGGCCAGGTGTTCTCAGCTGTGACCAGAAGCATGCAGTACGCAGGGAGGTAGAAAGAGCAACAGCTGGATGTCAGATCTGAGCATTAGCCTTTCCAGTAAATGCCTTCGCTTCAGTCTCTCAATTTCCTCCTCTCTAAAATGGGGGTGACACCACCCATCCTATTTACTGGAAAAGTCGTTGCCAGGATTCCATGAAACCACAGTCCAAAAGCCCCCTAAACAACGGTTAGGTTTCCTAATTTGAGATCAGGGAAACCCAGTTCAAGAGAAGAGACTCATGATTAGGAAAGGAGATGGAGGACTTAGGGTAGTAATCACATTTAGGGAAAGTCAGCAGGTCATTTTGGGATGGAAGAAGAAAAGCAAGCAAGCATTACAGAGCTGTTTAGAAGGTGAAAGGGAAAACTAAAGGAAGGGACTTCAAACGTGTTTAGCTGTCCCAGCACGCTGGCTTGGGGTTATGCTGAAACAAGAGTGTTGCAGGGAATGGATGTGCAGAATCACCAAGAGACTTCCAATAGCTTTGCCGATGATGGGAGGGATGTGTTTTAAGATAGCCTTATTGGACAAAATAAAAATTAACAATGCTATTATAGCCCTCCCAATTAAAATAATTTTTTAACTACTGATGTGTGAAGTACAAAAGTTTGAGGACCACTGTTCTAAAACACCTGTAGCTTTGCTGACTTTTCCATTGCTATAATTAGGTGAAATTTCATTTATCCAATAAAAGTTATTAAGCATCTGCCCTTTGCCCAGGACCCTCCCAGGTGCTGGGGATACAAAGATGATGCCTGTCACTGTCAGATGCACTATTAACAAAAGGCACTTTCACTAGGAGCTTATCCCCAGTGTCATCACTGCCAATTAATGACTGTGCCGTTCATGAAGCTCACTAAAAAGACAGGAGCAGAAACTTAAATATATATTACTAAGTGAAAGAAGCTACTCAGAAAAGGCTATATACTGTATGATTCCAACTATGTGACATTCTGGAAAAGGCAAAACTATGGAGATAATAAAAAGATCAGTGATTGCCATGGGCTGGGTGGAGGGAGGGAAGGATGGATAGGTGGAGCAGAGAGGATTTTTAGGGCAGAACTACTCTGTCCAATACTGTAACGGTGGATATATGTTATTTTACATTTGTCCAAACCCACAGAATGTGCAACACCAAGAGTGAGCCCTAATGTCAATTGTGGACTTCGGGTCATAGTGACGCGTCAATGTGGGTTCACCAGCTGTAACAGCTGTACCGCTCTGGTGGGAGATGTCACCAACGGGGGAGGCTGTGCCTGTGTAGGACAGGGCAGGAGGTATGTGGAATCTAGCTACACCTTCTGCTCAATTTTGCCTTGAACCTAAAACTCTAATATTGGGTCTCGGTTTCCTCATCTGTAAAAACATGGGCCTCTGTGGTTCATTCCAGGTGGGGACTGAGCTGATTAAAGTCAGAAGAAATAGTGATGAGCTCTGGATGGCAGACCAAAATCCAAATTTAATCAAAAATACATCATTGATGGTTTTCAGACACACAGAAGGGGATGATGAAGGACTTGCCTGGGGACCTAGTTTGGGAAATTCTTACATGGATTTCTACAAAAGAAGAGTCAGCCCTGGGGGGCTTTGTATACCATTCTCTTCTCACAAGAAGAGAGTGGCTCCAGGATGCTGGAAGCCAGCAGCATCTACGGGTTCACTCCGGTGGCCTTCACCCACTGCAGTGGTACCTCTCTGACTTGTTCCTTCTCTTTCCTCTTTTCTCAATAAACAGACATTAAGAGCAAAACACACCTTGAATTGTTATGCCTAAATCTGTAAGACACTTAGAGGTTCTAGGGTTTTTGTTTGTTTTACTTAAGCTTATAATTTGAAAATTGTACAGGGACTAATTATTCACATCTCTAAGACATCAAACACAGGGCATGGTGTCCCCATTGCAAGGCCTCTCTCAGCTGAAGTCTTGATTCCACAATCAAAGGCAGCCCCTCCTCCCTTCTCTTCTGCCTGATGCCAAGATGTTTTCAAAAACTCTATGCACCTGGCAAGTTTCCAAGGTGCAATTCTGAGACCCTCCCATTTACCAGCCCAGCAGGTGGCCAAGGCCCCCGCCCCTCACCCCCCAACACAGGCCCGGGCCCTGGGAAGGAGAAGTGTGGGAAGCAGAGCTGAGCCAGGTAGGGGGAGGAGGTGGGACAGGGTTTGTCTCAGCCTGTGAAGTCACCAGAGAGGACAAATGCCCTGGACTTCCCATCGCCCATGCGCGAGTCTTTCCAGGCAGCGGGCCCCTCTCGGTCCTGCTTGCAGACACTTCACTGGGGCCACGCAGCTGCCTGGGAAAACTGCACGGAGTCCCCTTAACACCTATGTGCGTCCTATAATGGGGCGGGGGTCATAGCCCCAAAGCCTTTATCCAAAACGCGAATTCCCCGCCGCGGACCCCTGGGAAGCTCGGGTTTAACACCACATGCCCTCCTGCTTCCACAGACCGGAGCCCCGACCCCCTTACCTGCGTGCCGCGCCCCTCCCAGGACCCGCGCCAGCTCGCGCCGGGGCGACCGCGGGGACCGGTGGGAGGCGCGCGCCAGGTGCGCTCTTCCCCGCGCGCCGACGGCCCGGAAAGGCCGCGCTCAGGTGGGGGCCGCCGGCGCCCAACAAAGCCCGCCACGTCCAGGCGGGCCCGCGCGGTCCGGGCGCCGGAGCAGGGCGCGCTGCTCGGCTAGGGGCGCGGGTCGGCGGGCAGCGCCCGGCCGCGGCCCCGGGCGCGCGGAGCCGAAGCAGGGCGAAGACTCACCCGGAGGAGCGCGGGGACAGCGCACGGCGCCTGGGCGGCTCTGCTCGCGGGCGCGGGCCCAGCTCGGGCAGGACGCGCCCGCAGGAGGGGCGCCTGGGAGCAGCCACGTGGGACACCTGCTCGCGTCTCCCGGGAGCGGCGCGGAGGGCGGCGCGCCCGGTCCCCTCGGCGGTCGGAGGCGCTCTGGGCACCCGGCCGGCCTCGCCCCTCGCGTTTTTTCAGGAGGCGTCGGCCAAGGTCCGCAAATAAACCAAGGACGTACTTCCACGCGGGCCGCCCAGCCTCCCGAGGTGCAGCCGTGAGCACTGTGCCATCAGCTGTCTACTCCGCACGATTCACTGCTCCGATCCATGAAAAATGTTGACTTTGGCATCTTCTCTACTTGTCGTGGCAATTGCCTTTTGTTTACCTGTCCTATTATTGCAGTTGAGTGTTAAGTGGACCTTTTGGCTATCATCCTCTCAAGTTGTGGGCGCCTGATATTTTAAAACGAACGCGGTACAGAACAATGCCTGGCACGATGCTTTGTACATAGTAAGCTCTCAATCAACGTTATGATTGCATAATTTATAATTTTTATACTTCATCCAGAAAGTGTCCTTGCATGTGTGCTCACTGTAAAAAAAAAAAAAAAAATTCCAGTAAGCAAATTGATAAACCACTCATTTTCCACCACCCCGAGATAATTACTGTTAACATTATGGTGTATATTCTTCCAGTGTCATTCTACCTATATAAAAATTTACATTATTTTAGTTCATTACATACAAGCTGTACATTAAAGATTTTCCACTTCCCATTTTGAACATCCTTCTGTCTTGAGAAACTACATAATGTTTTAATGTACTTAGCTGCTATTCTTGAACACTAAACTTTCAATTTTAATAATACAATTAGATATCTGTGCTTTTGCCCAATTACTTCTGTGGATTAAATTGCAAGAAAGATTTCTGGGATACTGTGAATATACAGTTTTAAGACTTTTGATGCTTATTATCAAATTGACCTCCCGAAGGTTGACCTGTTTCCTTTTTTCCACGTTCCACCCCCATTAAATCTTGTAAATGTCAATCTGATAGGCAAACAACAATTTTGTTTTTACACACCTTTCCTTTTTAAAAATTCAAAAACGCATCAGTCTGTAGCTCTCATGTGGCTTCCAATCCTCCCGGCACTGTCAGCTCCCAGTGAAAGTGGCCAGTGGTAACTCTAACACTGAGTTTGCAAACCTCAGCGAAGAGGAGAGGGGAAAAAATAACTCATTTTTCACGCAGTTCATTTCTCCCAAAAACATTGACTGAGCACACACAAATAAAAATAAGGCCACACCAGAACAGCACAGGTAATGTACCAGCATATTATCCCCGCAGGGGAACTTACCTCGAGGCCTAAATGCTAGGAGAGGGATGGTCTCTGCCTGTAGATCAGCATTGTCCCGGGAAAATGTAATGCAAGACACATGTGTAATTTTGAATGTTCTAGTAGCTACATTTAAAAAGTGAAGAGAGGCCCAGGTGTGCTGGTAAATGTTGAACAACTCCAGGTGAGGCGGCTCACACCTGTAATTCTAGCACCTTGAGAGGATGAGGTGGGAAGATCACTTGAGGATCTTTTACTTTGTACAAACTAGATTTCAATAACATCAATATTAACCTAAAGATCCAAAGCATCTCAACATGTAATCAATATGAAATATTTTATATTAAGCTTTCAAAATCCTGTTGTATTTTACCCTTACAGCACACTTCAATTTGCACTAGTCCCATTCCAAATACTAAATAGCCACATGCAGTGGACAGGTCCAAGGTCCTAGGTAAAAGTAGAAATTCCACCTTCAAGAACCTTCTTCCGGGCCGGGCGCTGTGGCTCACGCCTGTAATCCTAGCTCTTGGGAGGCCGAGGCGGGCGGATTGCTCAAGGTCAGGAGTTCAAAACCAGCCTGAGCAAGAGCGAGACCCCGTCTCTACTATAAATAGAAAGAAATTAATTGGCCAACTGATATATATATAAAAAAATTAGCCGGGCATGCTGGCGCATGCCTGTAGTCCCAGCTACTCGGGAGGCTGAGGCAGGAGGATCGCTTGAGCCCAGGAGTTTGAGGTTGCTGTGAGCTAGGCTGACGCCACGGCACTCACTCTAGCCTGGACAACAAAGTGAGACTCTGTCTCAAAAAAAAAAAAAAAAAAAAAAAAAGAACCTTCTTCCCCCAACCCTTGATGCTGATTGTTAAACTTTTTTTAAAGAGGCAGTCGGGGGAGGGGCGGTCTCACTATATTGCCCAGGCTGGTCTCAAACTCCTGGCCTCAAGCGCTCCTCCCACCTCATCTTCCCAGTGTTAGGATCACAGGTGTGAGCCACCCCACCTGGTGGTTAGTCAACATTTACCAGCACACCTTTGCCTAATTAGGTTTACCTTGGAGAAGCCAAATTTCAATCCTGGATGTTCCTGACTACTCTGACATCTTTAATTGGATATATTTCCCATTTTTATTGCATGACTAAGAAGTAAAGAACTGAAAGTATAAATACTGGAGGAGACACCAGTTGCTTCAAACTTCAAACAGACTGATGTATAGTCAGACGCCTAGCAGGTGCTACCACCTGGGGTGCACGTAGGAAGGGAGGCAGACAGTGGCCCAGGCTCTGAAAAATGGTGAGTGGCTGACTCTCAGGGTGGAAATTGGGCAGCTACTTTTGTCATCTATGATCTTTCCTTTGTGAAGATTTAGAGGAATTAAAAAAATAAATTATGGAGGCCCATCATCCCAAATGTCTTTGTGAGCTCCTTGCTTCCCAGGACTTTGGCTTATATTCACCTTTGCAGTGCTGATGCCTGGTTAATTGTACAGCATAAGTGCCCTTTTAAAATGTGAATTCACGAGTCACCTGTGTGGTGTGTCTCACGTTGCAAACACACAAGGCACAGAGACAACTTTGAATTCCATGCAGAGATAAATGGAGACTTCAGCACTCCCCGACATACACCACCTGGAGGCACCCAGTGTAGTGAAATTCCCATGGCTTTGGAGGTGAAGAGGTCTGGGGTTCTCCAGCCAGTTTTCCCACCTGTTGGTTTTGTGACACATAAAGATGCTTAACTTTTGACTGCTCAGTTTCCTGACCTACAAAGGGTGATGGGTGCACAGATCCTAACCCTACAGAATGCCCACTCTAATTCTTTGAACCAGTTCTCCAAATGATGCAAATGAGGACAGCAAGGTAAAGAACACAAGAAAGGGAGGATGCCTAACAAAGCTGCAAAAGTTGCGTATTTCCCAGAATTCAGAGCAGCCACTAAAGGAAGCCCTCTTATCAAGGAATCAAAGAACAGGAAACAATGCCTATTAGATAGCAAAGAAACCATCCCAGAAAGGGCCTGTGATGTGCTCCACGTAGCAAATTAAGCCATAGCAAGAACTGTGGAGCTAAGAATGAGAAAGAACAAGGGTGGGGGTAGACAGAGAACACAAGACACAAGGAGCTGAAATACTGCCATCTTTTCAAAACTAAAGCCCCTTGGATTTACAACCAATTGTTCTAAGGGTGAAAGCATACATCCCAACTCCTTAAGACTGAGAACTATGCACAAAGTTATACTGCATTTACTTTTGGAGAATGTGATGTTTTCTGGCTGAATCAAGTAAACATGGGCAAAGGCAAAGGCCTAGGTCCAACCAGCATTTAAAACTAAGTGCACTACATTAAACTGTCAATACTTCTGTGTCCTTCCCTCTCCTTTCCAAATTGTATCATGAATTTTGTGTTTAGTTTTCATATACACATGTATGCCTTAAGTATTCATTGACTACATTTTGAAAAGCACCTGGGTGCACCTTAGAGGAGGCAGAGTATACTTCCCTGCCTTACAATAAGCACAAGAGGCCATCTCATTTCCCGGAAGGCACACATCACAGGAGGCAAGTAACCCAGCATCAAAAAATTATCACCACAAGGTATTAATAATGGCATCACCTCCGAGTCTCAAGTAGGAAGGCAAGCACAGGAAAATGGCTGAGGCTGGGCAGCTAAGACCTTAAACAAAACCAGTCTTGGGAAGTTACCTGAAGCTACAGCCTACCCTACAGCCGAGATGCAAGAACTTCCCTAGGGAAGTTAAGACCTGCAATGCTTAGATCAAAGGCGATAAGAGAATGTTAACAGTGTTCCCTGGGAGCCTTCTGCTGCTGTCATCCTGTGCACGTGGGCAGTAACCTTTCTGCTAGCCTGACTGTAATTCCAGCAAGCAAAACCATCCTACCACTCTGAACTGCATGTTTAGAACCACAGGCTGCCCTCCAATGACAGACAAAAACCACCCCTGAGAATCTTCCTTGTGTGTGCAGGAAAAACGGTTTGGGCCTAAATCTGGCTACAGAACCACCTACCCTGGTGGGTAGCCCAGGTGCCTTTTTTGGCTAAGCCAAGACCTAGGCAGTTATTGGTGAGGAGCCCACCAGTAACAAAGGTTTACACTTTTGGCTGGCCGTCTCCTGGGAGTGGGCCTCACGATGAACTGGGTGCAGTGCTGGAATTCGGCAGCTTAGGGTCCTGCTGGTAAGGAAGGATCCTCAAGTGTGGGATTCTGGAGTATTTATTGTACGAGAGCTCAATTTCAGAATACTAACCACCCTCGTTCACAACTTTTGGGACTTTTACATTTTTAGCTGCTGTAGCAAAGAAAATTCTAGCAAAACAAAAGGCATACCAAATACACCTTTCCCCCCCATCGACACCAGGGGAGTTCACTGCTGAATCTGCATGACAGAAATCCCTGGCGAACTGGGTATGATTTCTCTCAATATTTACAAGGCCTCTCTGCCTAGGAATAAACTTGTGGATATATGAACTCAGCTCTACTGTACTTATTATCTGGGACCAAACTAGGTATTCTGGGGGGCTCTGAAGATTCATCAGCTGGTGTGACAGGGCCACACTAGCCCTACTAACTGAACAATAAATCCTGCACCTGCCACCACATCAGACACAAAGCTGGCGCACAAGTATTCACTGAAAAAAAAAATGCAGCTGACATGTTAATTAAAATAGGAAACTTCTTAAATCTACTCAGAAATAAGACCTGATGGTCTATAGTATGTCAAATCCAGGAGACATTTAACCCATTGCGAACAAGGCAAACAGCTGAATCACCATGTAATATTAAATTCCACCATGTAATATTGAAAGTTTCTACTTAAATTTCTAGTGCCATGTGATAAATGTTGAAATTTGAAGACATACTTTGTTTTTTAATGTGCCTTGATTTGCTTTCCTAATTTTCCTTAATAAAAAGGGCAGTATTGTGATTCCATAGTCTTCATCTGCACTTCCACACTGCGGTTGGGATGGGGTAGACGGTAGGAACACAGTAAGCATCTAGTGCTCCCGGTATGTACAGCAAAAGGAAATTGGCAAAATGCCATCAATAAGCACACAAAGGGAGGCTGGTTGAGAAGCAAAAAGATTTTATTGGGCAAAAGCAGCATAAACTTTTATCTAATAGAAGCACATCCATGTTTGAACAACTTCTTACATATGGATAAATTCCATTTAATCTAACAGATTAGCCGACACACGTTACCCGAAGAAACAAAATGAAAAAGTCTGAAGTATCTGTTTCAAGTTGGTGACAAAGTCTTCAGTTGTCAGAGTCTAATACTTAAATCATGGAAAACTTCCCACAGAAAAACTGTGAAGCTGCCAGGAAAGTCAGCTGACCCATAATTCCACACATGTG